CCTAGGATGTCAGGGACAAGATTGTAGATCTACACAAGGCTGGAATGGGCTACAAGACCATTGACAAGCAGCTTGGTGAGAAGGTAACAAAAGTTGGTGCGATTATTCGCAAATGGAAGAAACACAAAAGAACTGTCAATCTCCCTCGGCCTGGGGCTCCATGCAAGATCTCACCTCGTGGAGTTGCAATGATCTTGAGAACGGTGAGGAATCAGCCCAGAACTACACGGGAGGATCTTGTCAATGATCTCAAGGCAGCTGGGACCATAGTCACCAAGAAAACAATTGGTAACACACTACGCCGTGAAGGACTGAAATCCTGCAGCGCCCACAAGGTCCCCCTGCTCAAGAAAACACATATACATGCCCGTCTGAAGTTTGCCAATGAACATCTGAATGATTCAGAGGACAACTGGGTGAAAGTGTTGTGGTCAGATGAGATCAAAATGGAGCTCTTTGGCATCAACTCAACTCGCCGTGTTTGGAGGAGGAGGAATGCTGCCTATGACCCCAAGAACACCATCCCCACCGTCAAACATGGAGGTGGAAACATGCTTTGGGGGTGTTTTTCTGCTAAGGGACAGGACAACTTCACCGCATTAAAGGGACGATGGACGGGGCCATGTAGCGTCAAATTTTGGGTGAGAACTTCTTTCCCTCAGCTAGGGCATTGAAAATGGGTCGTGGATGGGTATTCCAGCATGACAATGACCCAAAACACACGGCCAAGGCAACAAAGGAAGGCTCAAGAAGAAGCACATTAAGGTCCTGTAGTGGCCTAGCCAGTCTCCAGACCTTAATCCCATAGAAAATCTGTGGAGGGAGCTGAAGGTTCGAGTTGCCAAACGTCAGCCTCGAAACCTTAATGACATGGAGAAGATTTGCAAAGAGGAGTGGGACAAAATCCCTCCTGAGATGTGTGCAAACCTGGTGGCCAACTACAAGAAACGTCTGACCTCTGTGATTGCCAACAAGGGTTTTGCCACCAAGTACTAAGTCATGTTTTGCAGAGGGGTCAAATACTTATTTCCCTCATTTAAATGCAAATCAATTTATAACATTTTTGACATGCGTTTTTCTGGATTCTTTTTTGCTATTCTGTCTCTCACTGTTCAAATAGATCTACCATTAAAATTATATCATTTCTTTGTCAGTGGTGAAACGTACAAAATCAGCAGGGGATCAAATACTTTTTTTCCCTCACTGTACAAGTAATTTCACTGGAATTCACTTGCATTGACCATGTAAACAATTCGGTAACTCACCACTTCATGATCTGGACCGTGGACAATTTCAGTAAAAACACATTTTGTATGCATAACGGGACTTGTACTCCATCACCATCAACGGGACAAAAATCACCATGGTGATGTGCATGGGCCGTTTTATAAAGCCGCGAGTCGAGCCCATATAACTGAAAGTGGTTGTGGATCCCTATCGACACAATACATTTGCAAAGTGTGCATAGCCCTCCTACTCCTAGAGTGATCTTTCTACAACACTATGTTTTTGATTGAATGGATGCCAACCAATATTTACAATTTAGAAGAATCCAACCAATACTATATCTTTGCCATACATAGCAGGGGTTACCAAATATATTTCCAAAACATTAAAAAAACACAAGATCCAGGTTCGTTTTAACACAGTACACAAAATCGGTGATTAGATCCCATCTGTAAAGGATGTGATTCCTGATATGCAATACCCTGGTGTCTACAAACTGAGTTGTGGTTGTGGCAGCAGTTACATTGGGTAAACGAAACGACATGTCTCGGACCGCGTTCGCGAACACAAGGCAGACCTTAAACACGGTAGGACCAATACCTCGGCCGTTGCTGATCATTGTTTTAACGCTGTGGGCTCACACGAAATTTACTTTTCCAAGAGGAAGTGCTCTGCAAACCCACCGGCTATTATCAGAGATTTGTTTATGAAGCCATCCAGATATATAAACACAGACACAACTTCAACCGAGAAAATGGGTACAAACTGAGCAATCATTGGAAGGACGTTATTAACCAGGTAAAGTCTTTACTGACTGTGATGTTTCCATCCTACCTGCCTATGTCAGTTGTTATTCCCGACTCTCTGTGTCTTTCTCTCTCTCTCTGTGCATCTCTCTCCAGTCTCTCTCCAGTGACCCGGGTGCTACCACGGGGTCCACTTACTGCCCCTCCTTCCCTCCCCTGCAGCCAATCTCTCAGATCTCTCCAAGTGATGCGGCGGGGTCCACTTTCTGCCCCGGCCCCCTCTCTCCCCCCACCTCCTCTCTCAAGCCCCCTACTGCCGAGGCCGATATAACTTTGTGCCACGGCAGATCTCTCCCACCTACTTCAGCAGTTTTTTTTCTTGCTGTGGTTGTCCCACCTGATGACGATTGCTTGTGTTGCAAGCGTAACGTCGTGATCTATTATTTTTCTACCTACGTGACTTTCCCGAAAGAACCAAAGAGTAACAATAGTAACGTTTAATTGAAATGCATTAACATGATAATTAGCAAATACTGACAAACTGGCGTATATTACCAAACATTGTATACCGTGTTAAAAAAAAAACACAAGTGTCCCATTTTCTCTGTTAAAATAAAATATCACGTAAAATATCAAGTGTGGACACTTATTAATAAAATTCTGCTGCGTGGCAATGGCTAACAACAAGGGCCTCTCTAGATCACCACCACAACGGAGGAGGGATAGCAAAACTACACTATCTCTCTCTCATGAAGCCCTCTTCGTGGTGAGCAGAGCTCGACTCTGGAATTTGGCTCCTGAATGTCCAGTATTACCACACACAAGAATATCATTTACATTATTAATTATTTTATAATTATATTCATATTCTTAGCTCTTTCGGTAAAGTCACGTTGAAGGGAAACAATCAAATAAAAAATATATATAAAACAATAAAAATTCTCAGGACGTTTCGACCATAACACAAACGGTCGTCATCAGGTGTGTCGGTTTGCATTAATTTATTTATTTGTTGACGTGCACTTATTTATTTATTAAAAAAACGTCGGCGCCACGCGCAGCGATTTGGCAGTTTATTTAGAAGGACTAGTCCATCTATGTTCTGAAAAGAGGAGGGGGGGGGGGAGACAAAAAATTAATGTATGCTGTCTGAAAGCCACTGTAAGCGTGAACAATCAATTAAGACCTGAAATGGTTAATCAAATCTTTCCAATGATTGCTAAGCCAGAATCCATCTTCTTGGTTGAAATTGTCTCTGTGCTTGTATATGTGGATAGCCTCATGAACGAATCTCTCATGGTAGCCAGATGGCTTGCAAAGAACCTCTGTCTTGGAGAAGTCAATGTCATGTGAACCTACTGAATTATAACAGTGATCTGCCACGGCCGAGGTGTTGGTCCTATCGTGTTTCAGGTCTGCTTTGTGTTCACGAATGCGGTCCGAGACATGGCGTTTGGTTTCTCCAATGTAACTACTACCACAGAGGCAACTTAGTTTGTAGACACCAGGGTACTGTATGTCCAGAATCACATCTTTTACAGACGGAACCAGATCACGGATTTTATGTAATGTGTTGAAACGGACCTGGATCTTGTGTTTATTCAAGATTTTGGAGATCTTTTTTGTGATCCCCGCAATGTAGGGTAAAGTGATGGTTTTGAAAGGCTCCTCAAGAGGGTCCTTCTTCATGGTTTGAGTGATAACTTTGCGGATTGTATAGTCGGAGTAACCATTAGCCTTAAGAGCTTGGTGTACGTGCTTGAGTTCACTGCCTATGTGTTCCTGGTCGGATATGCATTGGGCTCTATGGTACAGAGTCTTGATGAGATAATTCTTCTGTGATGGATGGTGGTGGGAATCCGGTTTCAGATAAGCATCCGTATGGGTAGCTTTGCTGTAGACAGAGTGGCTCATTGAACCATCAGGTCTCTTTTTTATTAGGACATCCAAAAAAGGTAGCTTGCCATCTTTTTCGACTTCCATGGTAAATCTGATGGCTGGGTGTATGGAATTGATGTGGTCGAAGAATTGGTCTAGAGCAGGCCGGCCATGTGGCCAGATGACAAAAGTGTCATCCACGTACCTCTTCGATAAGGTTGGGCGCAGAGTGGCAGTCTGGATGGCGTCAGTCTCAAATTTCTCCATGAAAATGTTAGCTATAACCGGTGATAGGGGGGAGCCCATTGGGGTGCCCTCAGTTTGTTTGTAGAAAGTTCCATTCCAAGTGAAGTATGTATTGGTTAAATAGTGTCTCACCAGGGGGGGTACCTCAGTGTTTAGTCCTTGATGAACCAAGTCTTCAATGATTGCGATGGTGTCAGGTACAGGAACCTTGGTGAATAAGGAAACTACATCAAAACCCCCCCTGGTGAGACACTGTTTAATCAATACATACTTCTATTATCTGCGCAGTGCGCAATCTACCAGTTATGTGTTACTTACTTATTGGATATTTACTTTTGTTACTTATTTACTGTTTTAAGTTCACTCGTTTCCAGTTTGTTTTCTTTGTGCACGTTATGTTTTTAATGTTAACAATTAATAGTGGAATGTATTACAAATGTAAACTTCGTATTAATATGATGGAATTAAGCTGCGGTAACGACGTTAAAGATATGAATGTATGCGGGGTATATGGAGGTGGGGGCTATCTAAAATTTGTTTTACACAAAACGCTATTTTTGCGGGGTATGTGCGTCTGCGGGTTATATGCCGTTCATAAAAGTTGAAGGCAGTATAGTACTATAGTAATAGAGCAAGTGCAGAATCACTGAGCCGGAATTGATAGCTTGAAAGCATTTATCGCGGGGCCGTTGAAACTGTGGGGCCCGTAGCATGTGTTCCTTTTACTACTAGGATAATACGGCACTGATAATAATGATAGTGAATGATAGGAAATAATACAACATGAATGGCCCATGAGGCCTGAAGTTATTCATTCATTCATTCAGTTATCCATTCAGTTCACTTGAGTCACACTGCAAAAAAGATCCACATTCATGACAACAGCAAACTCGCACGCAAACCGAGGGATATCAATCTGTCTTTATTGCTGTGCAACATTTTTGTTCGATTACAATTCGTATTTACACAATGTAACACATTGGCGTTATCATTTTAAAAAATATATATATACTTCTCTAAGGAATTTAGCTTCGACTCTATCATGTAAACCATGCTGGATTTTCATTGTGTAACGTGTGAAGAGATGGCCTACATTCAAGTAGAAACAAAAGGGCTAAAAGAAACTGGTCCTGCGATTGTTGAAGAAGCTCACACCCCGTGCCGTGGGGCACGATCAATGCATAATATTGAAGACGTCAGATTCTAGCATTTATAAAAGCAAATTTCATCGACAACCGCCTATGCGCTATGCTATAACCATGCTACACTATCTCTGAATTCGTGTGTCAGTTGTTAAAACAGTCCTAGTGCGGAAAGCACTATTCCGACGCTTCGTTTTCACGAAAGTTGCAGCACGCGATTGGATGTTGGACTCGCATCAGTAAGCAGTGGTGGATTCTTCCCTCCTCACGACTTGACAGTGGGGCCATAGAGTGGCCTCTACCAGCTGATGAATTCATCTATTATGGCGAATTTAGTTTAATTGTGGATGTGGCGTGCCCGGTGCGGAAGCGAACGACCCGGTTTAAATCCTTTATTAGGGTCTGAGATCTGCAAGGATTCCGGTACGAGGATTAATATCGAGTCTCATGTCCCATTTCAGATTATCGAGCGAGAGGGGCATGGGCCCTGGTGCAATTGCTACTGCCTGTCACACTCGATAGCCACAACAAGCGCTCTGTCCGCACGCACGGCTTGCACAACACCAGCACGCTTCCTCTGAAGGCCCCGGGTAGATGGAAGGATGCGAGGTTTTGTAGAGGCGGCCTTTGTTTTTCCCACTACTGCAAGACCCACCGCTGAAGGGCGTCATGGGGGTTGCAGGGCACCAGCGACGGGTGCTCTCCACGCGCTGTCAGGCACAGGTCCGTCAGCGGGTTGTAGATGAGTTTGTTCTGCACAAAACAAACACAACGACAGAGCAACGCGAAGTCGAAAGTAACGTTCACGGGGAATGATAAAGTGGTAACGATGTTAGTGCTTGGATGGGTGACCGCCATGAAACAGGTTGTGGAGATGCGTGGTAGTAGAACAGAGGGCAGTGCAGCAATATTCAGTGTTGCACTGCACGTCTTTGCTATGCGCCTCACCTTCACCAACCTAGCCAAAACCAGTGTGATAAAGTATGGTCAAAGTGACACCCCCACGACCCGCAGGGTGTGGCGGGAGGCCCTCAACAAGCAGTCGGTTGACAAAATATCCGTACGCATACATTGCCATCACGGTTACACAACTGTGAAGAAGACTCGCAATATGGAAATTCTATTCGTGTTCCACTTTGGCCTCTCGCTTTGCGGGCATGTTGCGATGTGTGTGTGCGCTTGCAATACGTGCCCCGAATCACGCGTATCAGAACCAATTACGATCAAATTTAGCATGTGGTCATACGTAAGCTCATTTCTTTAGAACAGCTTTTTGTGTTTAGTTTTATGTCCCCCCCCACCCCGCACATCGAATTAGCACGGTTGACTATGTACGGTTGTGAAAGGTATTCAACATAAGACAATAAAATTCTCACGACGTTTCGTCCGCAACACAAGTGGCCTTCTTCAGGTGAAAGAACAGAACTGTCGGGACGACAGTGCTTCAATGCATTGAATTTTAATGTCTTATTTTTATTTTATTATTTTATTCTCATTCTACGTGACTTTACCGAAAGAACCAAAGAAGATGATTCCCTGCAGTCACGAAAGCTTTAAATCGAAAGTATTCAACATACATACATAGTCATAAAGCCATAGTTTTACTGTGGTGATGATGATGGTTTTAATAATAATAATAATAATAGCCACCACAGTATTTATTTGTTTACTCAAAAAAACCGAACAAAATCTCTCGACTCTTTCGGGATGGGGCAGCTATGCCGTATTCCTCGGATCGCCCCGGTGGGTTTGCCACATAGCGTTGGCAGCGAGTGAGCGTGCGACGCCGTAGTGAGCGTGCAGGCTACATGGGGGATGAAGGCCGACGCGGTGTGCCGCGGTACCTGCCGCAGCTGCCACAGCTGCTCGCCCGGTGTGGAGCTGTTGTGGCCGCGGTATCGGCACTCCTCCAGGCACACGGCCTCCAGCGTGGCGTGCACGCACAGCTCCTTCTGCACGCTGTGCCGCAGCTCTCGCTGCCACGTGTACTCGAAGTACTGCGGGGTGGCACGCACGCACGCGCACGCGCACGCAAAGACAAAGATCCCACATGTAGACGCACAGAGCGTCGTCGGGAGGAAAGTTCTGACAACGAGCGCCTATGGGGGCCGGCACGGTGCGCCGTAGTGGAGTGGTGTGGCCGACACAACACACCTGGCCACCTCTGTCTCTCTAGTTTACACACCACGGCGGGTACTCATTTGAGGCTGCGCCAGGCGAGGAGAAGTCCAGAGCCCATGTGTGTGTGTGTTCATCACTGGCGTTGACTACGATACGGTGATTGAACTCAGCTCGCCCAGGTTTGTAGCACAATGTGCGAACCAATACATTACTGTTCCCCAAACGCACGCACACATGCACACACAAATTCAAGAGAAATATCCCCTGCGTAGCCTTAACAGACTTCATTGGCAAGTGCTTTTAGTGAGCAGGTATGAAGGCTGGTACGGTGCACGAGGGGGGGGGGCGGGGGGGGGGTGGCCAGCACCACGCCCGACCGCTTTTATCTCCCTAGTGCTAATGCTTACACATAGCACCAGGCACTCAATTGAGGCCGAGTCAACTGAGGATAGTCCCAGGACCAGCACAGAGTAATCGTCACCGGTGTTGGCCTTGAACGGGAATCAAACTCCAGTTGCTGGGTTCGTATCGCAGCTCGCTAACCGCTGCGAACCCCGCTCACCACGCACAAACGCACACAGAGGCACACGACATCACGACGGGTGGCAGCGGAGGGAACATTGTGCCCTGGACTCGCTGCAGGGTGTCACTGCAAGGTGAGACCTGTGTCTTGCCGGTGGGGCATTGATTAAATCTCACTCCTGCTGACCACGATATGCATATATACTTCCATTTCACGAGTGTCTATTCTCGTTGGGTTTTACATGACTAAGTATCCGTGCAGCTGCACCTTTCAGCTAATTAAGTAATCAATTAATCTACTTTTATTATTATTGCACCAACGAATTGAAAAAAAGTATACATTTGCATATAATTTGCAAAAACAAATGAACAATATCTACACGCGATCCTCAGAAGTATGTATGTACATTGAACTTCTTTCGCACCATACGTAACCAAGCATGCTAATCGGAGGTGCTGGGGAATGACAACAAACTAAATACAGAACGCTGTTCTGAAGAAATTAGTTTTTTTATCATCAAGTTGATTTTAAAAAGTTCACAGTTCCAATGGCTTCTTAATATCAGAAAGAAGAGCGTTCCAGGCGGCCACAGAAGCACATCTTTAAAAGCGCGCAATGCGGTGACCGTCTTTGTTCGACGGTTAGCCCGCCGCCGCCGCCGCTGCTGCGAGGATGACAGGAGTTCACCTGATGGTTTGTGCCCTCCTTGAGGTTCCCGTGTGCGCTTCCAGAGCACAATTTGTCGTGGCAGCCGAGGGGCGGGGGTGGGAATTGGCGACGTCTTTTTCGCCATTGTAGCCACGTCGCGCCGGCCGTGCACCGCGGCGAGTGCCCCGTGGGTGCCCAACATCGACAATGGCTGCTGACTAATTGTCCCTACTTTCTTTTATTACTGAAAGCATGTTTTATCAATTTAATGTATAAATGAATGATGTCCAGCACTCCCTGGCGGTGTCTCCATTGCAAGCAGTAGAGGCTGACACTTTTACTGCCGTACATTTGTAATGAGAGATGCGCGATCCAGTGGTTGCCAGAGGGTAACTGGGAACAGTCACTATTATGCAATCACCGTCCAATCCTAAGAGGGAACAACATCTTGGCCTAAGGTGACGGGCGAGAGAGACGCTTCGGGAACCATCGGGAAGGTTCCACGTGGGGGCGTGGCTAGAGGGGGAGCCTAGCTCCGCCGGGGTGAATATAAGCAGGGGCGGGGGAGGGACTCGTGGTCGGTGTGGGGAGCCTTGGGTCCGGTCTGTGTCGCTGCCCGTCAATTCCTCTCTGCGCCACCGACCACGTGGCGGGTTCCTCAGTGAGGCTCGTCTCTTCTCTCTGGCGCACCACGAGCCAACGGCGAGACCGCGGGGGGGGAGCGGAGCGAACCTCGCTGGTGGACCAGAGAGAGAGAGACGCTCGTCTGCGGTGTTGTGAAGCTACCAGGAGACCGAGGGAGCGGAGCTGTGCAGTACCACAGTTAATGAAGAAGTACTCTGACAAGAATCGTCGTGGATGTCGTTTTGTTACACATTAGAATATGTGCTTTGTTTTACCGCTTTCCAAATAAGGTTGTGAGCATTCATGAATGACCTCTGTTTATCCATCCACAATAGGAGGGGCACCATAACCATCACAAAGATGATATCACGTGAACCAACCTGCAGTATAATATTTATATGGCCAATAATAGGAAAGAAACTGGCGCTAACTGTCGGCACAGCACGTCTACGTATTTGGGCTGACAACCGATACACGCATTCACTTGACCTCGTGAGCCTTTGCGAATTCAACTTCCGAAGAGTTCCACGAACACCGCGATGGCTTTTTGCATTGTGCTGTGCTAAATTCACACCGGGGGTGTGCGAGCAGAGGGCGGGCGGGCGGGCAGGCAGGCAGGTGGGCGGGCGGGGGAGCTCACCTGGTTTCCGCCCATCCCGTGGCAGGTGTAGAGGATGAGCGGCTTGCCCTGGGAGCTCTCACCGCCAGTGTCCAAGCACTGGCCCCTCCCTCGGTTCAGCAGCTGCACTCGCGCACAGCCACGCGGCACAAAGTTCACGATGAGTTGAGTAATCTGGCAGGCGATTAATTTAAATGGCACGCACGTTACGCCTGCACCACACACATTTTACCAAGCAGCATTTGCATCCATATGTCTGCTGGTTGCTTGTTTGTGAACACAAATGCCGCTTGGATTATATTGGTCTGGGAAGCCAACAGGTCGACGGCTGAATCGTTTCATCTGCACGTGGTGAAAACTTGTTTTATAAACTTAAACTTCATTTCCTTAGAGGTGCTTTTTGTGGTTAGTTTGTTGTTCTTCCCCCACACCTTCGATTAGCACTGTTGGCCACGTACGGTGCGAAAGAAGTTCAACATACATTAATACAATGGAGGGTTATTTATGCATGTCATTAACCCACGACGCCCCACAGCAACGCAGAATGAGTTTGCGTACAATAACAAAATCTTAGTAACTCGTTGCTACGTCACATTTGCTAGCGACGTGTTTACGCACCGCTCCAAACGCCTCCGGGTTGAGGTCGGGGACGAAGGCTTCGGGGTAGACGGAGTTCAGGTACCACGTGAAGTTCTTGCACTGCAGACGCTCGCGCAGGCGCAGTCGCTCCGATATGTCGCCAAACTCCCCCTGCCAGGGAGGGAGGGAGGGAGCCAGGGAGATAGGGGCCAGCGTTGTCGAGGTGGTGTTACCTTCGCGGACGAAATGTCTTGAAAATATTCACCAGAAAGGTTGATTACATTTTTCGTCACCGATGATCGTGAGCGGACAAACATCGTCACGCGAGACGATGGCTACAAACTATCCACCGAAGACAAAAAAAAACAAAGTGTTATTGACTGCGATGTTATTTGAGACGGCAGTGCAGATTTAGATTTGGTTTATTTCAGCAAGAAGGGCCCAATGAGCCGCTTGGTTCAATTTCATGGTCGTCCCGCCAGAGTGCAGACGTTATTACAAGGACAGATCTTAGTTCCCGTCACATTTACATAGGTCGCGATGCAGGCAGCGAGAATCGGTGCACGCTTGACCACGTTCTTTTCCCAATGAAAATTAAGGAAGGGAGAAAATGTTCCATCTAACAAAACGAACACAATCAGCAAGCGGGAACTTTCAGTGCGATCCAAAAAAAGTACTTGGGCTCACTGGCTGACCTGATAACAATGGGGACGGGGGATTGATTGTCCACCTCTCACACCAACACTGAATAAATGAGGGTGGACTAAATGTTTTAGTGCATGTGTCGACTCGACTAAGGGAACTCCACGGGTTGTTATCAACCAGAGTAAAACTATGCCTAAACTCAATTTACACAGGGTTATACGCACTGATGTTATCCATGGCCGAGAGCGAAGCTAAGGTTGCCAGCTTCAGAGCACGGTGCTATGAACCCAGCGACTTAAGTACATATATATACATTTTGATTTAAAGCTTTCGTGACTGCAGGGATTCATATTCTTGGTTCTTTCGGTAAAGTCCCTTCTACGTGACTTTACCGAAAGAACCAAGAATACATATATATACATATATATTCTCCCCACCTTCACCAATCCAAACTGACCAGTGTGGAGAAGTAAGGTCAAATAACACCTGTGATACACATGGCGTTGGGAGGCCCTCATTCAGCAGTGGACTAACAAAACAGCTGTCCATATGTGCATATGTTAAACTTCTTTCGCACCGTACTAAGCAAACAATACTAATCGGAGGTGTGGGGGATGGACAACAAACTAAACACAAAAAGGACTTCTAAAGAAATGCTTTTCCAATCTAGATAATTTAAAGGTGCATAGCTTCAGTGGGTTCCAAATATTGGAAGGAAGATCATTCCAGATGGCCACAGAAGCCCATTTGAAGGCGTGTGATGCAGTGACCGTCTTTGTTTGATGACTAGCCAAAGGCCGCTGCGAGTATGACCAGAGTACGGTGGCAAGTTGTTAACTACCTCGCCTGGTATGCAGGAGGTCATGGGTTCGATCCCAACCCTGACGCCTGTTAGATGTGTAATAAGATCGCCATCTCCTGTCTTATTGTGGGGGAGAGGTACATTACCTTGTACAGTCTATGGTTTATCTATAGTAGACATTACATTACATCTAGGGTAAAGGTGATGGGGCGGATCCACCAGGGAAGCCTCTGGAACGTTCCCGAAGGTTCCAGGAGGGGCGTGGCCAGAGGCGGGGCTTAGGCACCGGAGAGCGAATATAAGTCGGGGGCACAGCAACGTGAGGGGTCGGTGTCTGAAGATCAAGAGGAGCTCCCCGTCACTGCTGCCTCGCCATCTCCACCTGCCACGTGGCGGCCTGACCTCCAGCCGCTCAGCCGCTCCCTGGCGCGCCGCCAGGCAGCGGCGTGTTGGGTGAGCGGAGTGAGCGCCACGTGGCGCGGAGGCAGTGCAGCCACCCGAGCGGGTGGACATCCGCGGAGAGAGAGAGAGAGAACCGAAGCTATACCGAAGATTTATTAATAAACAACTTAAAGTTTGCTTACCGTGTCGGAGCCATCCGTTACAGATGGTTAGCAAATAGTGATGACGACGATGCAGACAATGAAAACACAATGGACCTCGTGCGAATTGCGCTATAGCAAACCGAGTTCATCGTCATGATTGCTATTAATCATCATCACGGAGGGTGCTCGCGCAAGTGTACCTGGCTGGCTATGCGCGCCGCCTCGCGGTTGCGCCGGTAGAAGATGTGCCGGTACTCGTCCATCCACACCTCGGCGGCGCGCACCAGGTTGCGCGTGATGATGGAGGCGCCGGCCGGGAATGAGTGCGGGCTCTTGGTGCGGAACACGTGACCCACCACGGAGCACGGCACGATCTCCAGCTGCCCGCCGCACTGCCACACCTTGGGCAGGCCCGCGCGCACACACAAGCTCAGTGCGAGGTGGCAACGCGAGCGGGCCGGCATGGCTAGGGTTGCCACCCGTCCTGGTGTTTTTTTTTTTCTTTCCCTGGATTGATAGCTGCTGTCCCGGTTTTTGTCAGATGTGTCGTAGTGATAATAATAATAATAACACAGCTCTCAAACACAATGGATGTACGTGACGTTATTCCCTCTTCTGGTATTGTGAGATATTCTCATTCCCATGAAATGTCCTGCTTTTGTTTGTACCTCGGAGGTTGTAAAACGTCAGACACAGTGCCACAAGAAAATAACATTCCTTCCCACTCTGCTATCACACTGTCGTGATGAATGTCTCAGCTGGTGCGTCACTCAAAACTCTGCCTTGGGTTTCGATCATTATTATATAATAAAACTGAATTTGCCTATCAGTCAGTCAGTCACAGCAGTTATATGATTAATTTTCCTCACTACAGGTTATAATGGACCAGAAGAGTGACACAGTAATAATGCTTGTGCCCCAAAGTAGGAGCAGGGTTAAATTCCCAACTCTGTGCAGAGTTTGTTTGTCCTCCCCGTGTTCTGCATGGGGTTCCTCCGCGTTATCCGATTTCCTCCCATAGAGAAAAGAAAAGTGTTATGTAACTGGTATTGACCGAAACAATACTAATAATTTACCTGCAAAATTACTTAGTTGAGATTACAAACAGTAATATTGACCCCTCCTGAAGAAATTATTTGGCGGGGCCTTGCTTAAAAGAGAGTCCTGCAACTCAGTCTTTGCTGGGGAAATAAGCGAAATAGTGATAATAATAATAAAAATACATACAATAATTATAATCAGGTATTCATCACGAGCTAAGCATGATCTACGACAAAGACAAATCCTTGACGCAAACTTTTAACCATGCAAGTTACCAATGCGTTCTTTCGTTGACAAAGCGTACAACAGTGCCTGGATCGTACTTTTGCTCAATCGGGCTCCAGACGCAGTTTTATTTACCAATGCAATTTAGTAGAAAACAATCATCCCGACAGTAGTTTGAGCTGTTCTAGCTTGTTGTATACGGAAGCGGTCTGGTGTCTGCCCAGCACTGGTGCATTATTATTGTTGCCTCATGGTTTATCATTTTAAAAAACACCTGGGATGTGTCACCTGAAACTGGAATGTCCAAGGCGGAAATTGTACTCCCCTAAGCAGAGCCATGAACCGGCAATGTTCGATGCTGCATTTGTCAACATTGGCACGCAGTGCGCGTGAACTGTAGCCTTATTTGTGTCGATGTCTTGTGCACTGGTTTCTGTTTGTTGGTTGCTCCTCATCAATGCAGTAAAGACAGGTTTGAAACACTTTGAAGCCGTCTCCCGGCAGTAGCACAGCAGGGCTGATTCACAGCGGTGATGACAATAATGGAGTGAGTACAGTGAGTGGCCGTGCCAATGGGTAGAATTTTCACGAAGGAAATGTCAGTGCGTTCAGGAGTAATTCAGCAAAAGTACACGTGCAGTGCCAGTTATGTCTCTCATTGTTCAAGTAACTTTGGTGATGGTAAAGAAGAAGAAGTAGAAGAAGAAGAAGCTGAAGCTAAAGCTGAAGAAGAATAAGAGACACAGTGGACTCACCCGGAATGACATTTCAATGTTCTCGCCTCCCCAGATTTCCATCTGATTGTCATAGGTGCCCAGGTATTCAAAATACTCTTTGGAGATTGAAAAGAGACCCCCCGCGAAGGTCGGAGTCCTGGCGACACAGGCACAATTCCGGTGAGCGACAATCACTTTGAGCTGCCCGTGCCATGCTTTTAAACGTTTCCCAAAGTCGCGGTGAAAGCACCGACGCACTAGTCTGTCTGTCTGTCCATAAGTAAACTTTACGGTACAATTGTGTCGCGACCAAATTTCTCCAACCGGCCATTGCATCGCCAACTACCGCAAAAAAACTTTGCGGGATCCTCCATAGAAAGAGTTATGAGACTCCGGGGGTTTCTGGGGGATTTTTTTTTATGATAATAATAAACCCAATTCCAAATCGGCCCAAAAATTCGGAGGGACAAACCACAGTCAGAATGTCGATTCGCAAATATGAAAACGCATTTCACAATGACAGCGGCTGCCATAATACCGGTGAAATACCTGCGAGGAGAAATACACATTGGAAAGAATAAGCCATGCATTCTACAAAATCCATGCGTATGCAGGATTTGCCAAACTTGTTCACAATTAAAAGTGCACACTCGTCGTTTTAAAAAAAAAGCAAAATGTAGCATTAACGCGTGAGAATTATCGAGCCACTGCCCCACGCAGTTTACAGGCTAGGGGGTCAATGAAGTAAATACGTCTTAAAGTACTACATTTATTATCTTGGCACGGGGGGTGGGTGACCTGCCTGACATGTTTTGATTAAATGTGTCTAGTGCCAACTACAATTGACCAATTTCAAGATGACTCACGACCTCCATCCACGGCTGCACAAAATCCATGAAAATGTCAATAACCATGGCCTCCCAGCTCTCTCCACCTTGCACCTACAAGCGGTGACTGGAGGCAATCTGACAATTTCCACTGCTGAGTTCGTAAATCTTAATTACCCAGAGTGCTAACCCGCACAAAACAACAAAAAGGCACGCAATCGCTCGAACAGCTGAGCGGGTTCCATTGTCACTGTTCACCAAAACGCAAGGGCTATTATTCGAATCGAAGTGCCTCCTTACATGATTGTTATTATTACAATCACACCATGTCAGTGATAATTTGGTTGGCACTATGGAGAAGCAAAAATCCACTGCGCGGGCTTGCATATGCTATGCCATTCCGTTCCCATAACCTTTTTACTGTCCGTTTCATTTTGTTCTGACAGCCCGAGAGCGTATCTCCCTTGTACCAAGTCCCTGCTGAAGCTTCCCCGCGGGGGGTGGGGGCTTAGACAACTGCTGGGTGTGGGAGGTCGTGGGAGGGTCCCTGACACTGAGGATTTAATTCTCTCACTGAAATATTCTTTTTCCAGGTCGTTGGTTAACCCAAGGTAGGCGGCGTGTCACGAGCACCCGCAGCCATAGGGAGAGGTACAGTCTTTTCTCCTATAACGCGGTAGTAGTTCCTGAAGAATATTGCATTATAATAAATAATACAGGGTGGAGCACAGTCCGCGATAACACGTGCGATGCATGCGCAGGCTGAACAAAGACTGAGGTGCGTGGGTAGCATCCCAGAACATCCAGCAGCATCCCGCCTTGTGTGATGATGTTACCCCGAGGCAGCCGTACAAATGCTTACTCCTACTCGCGCGACGTAGTTCTGTTCACGCAAACGCGTTATATCCAATTCGCATCCGCATTATATATATTTAACAAAAATCATTCATCGCATTATTTCCAATTAGTGCTATGAAAACACGCGTTACAGGAGAACAGACTGTATACCCGAAGTGGTGTGCTGGCTGCGGAAATATTTTTCATCTCACCGATCTGGACAAAGCCGGTTTAAATAAACTGGGCATTATGGCACAGCCCTACGGTACAGCCCGACACACTCCTGAGCGACGCCCACGCCGCCCCCCCCACCACCCCCCGCCAGCGTTCACGAGGCCCTCACTTGATGGGCTCCGTGGCATCCTTCCGCCGCCGGCGCTCGCTCTCAGGGAGGGCCTCCCAGCCGAACGTGAGCGTCCAGTCGAAGTTGCCGCGGCTGGGCTCGTGGCCGCGCGGGGCCGGGCGCGACACCTCGAACGAGTCCAGGTCGATGGTGACAATCTCGGGGCTGACGACGCGTCGTGGGTCCTCGGCCACACGCGCCAGCAGGGCCTCCAGCCAGCCGGAGAAGCACTCGCCTTGCGCCGACACGGACCGAGGAGAAAACAGGAAGCGCCGAATGGAAACCACAGGGCAAGTGGCGGTGCAAAGCTTTCGAGAACGAAGTCAAAGTATAGCCCCACCCCCCACCGCCCCCCAAGTAGATCAATGGGCCCCGAATTCAATATAAAACATGGGGACACCAAATCTAACTCGGATGCTTATCGTGTGAAAAGAAGCTCATTATTCTAATAATATCACGCACAAAGTGCTTGCCACAAATTAACCACAATACCTTTGCCGATCTTGTCAAGGAGCATAAACCATCACCCGAACTCCGGTCATCCTCGCTTGCGGCTGTTGGCTAACCATCGAACACTGCAAAGCGGTTTCAAGAAGCGCTTTTGCGGCCGTCTGCAATTCTCTTCCTTCCGTTAATAGGAAGCCACAGAGCTATGCACTTTTAGATCTCAAATTGAAAACTCATCCCTTTTTGGAACCGCTTTTTGTGGTTAGTTTGTCGTCCTTCGCCCGCACCTCAGATTAACGCCTTTGGCTACATACGATAGGAAAGACTTTCAACATACAGTACGTACATACATGTCTTAAAAATGCCGTTAGTCTATGAATAAATTATGAACAACCAATACTTACGCACGAGATTTGATGCATGTATCATAATCGTAAGGACCGAAAGTAATCGCTGAAGTGATGCAAAATGGAACGGAGGCTATATTCTAGTAATGACCTCATTACAATCACGGGTGGCTCAAAAACATAACATCATCATATTAGCCGGTTACGTTTCATTATTTCATAAACGGGCCACACCCTGACTCAGTGAAATGAAAACTAGCCAGTGTATTGCTTTGGCTAAAACAAACACGGCTGGGATACATTGATCACATCGGAAGGGAACCATTGGTTCAACTGATTTTCATTTCAGCCAGGCAGTGGCGCATAGCTGCGACCCAATGCTCTGGAGGCCAGTGTTGGCGGATCACGCACATTTGTAAAAAAACTTCCCCCCGATTGCCTGCGTGGTGGCCGGGAGATTACAGCACAGTACGTGCATGCATCTGTGTGGAGCTTTGGGTGTAGTCCTCTCACATGCGTGAGTTTTCTCTGGGCGTTCCCATTAACGAGTTACTTGGCACTCATTAATGGAACCTGGCCAAACATGGCAATGCAGACCGCTCGTGATGGATGGTGTTGCTACTTAGGCTTTTTTTTTAATAAAGGGCATTACTGATGCAATATTTAATGTATGTCATTGCACAAACACTCTGCCTGTTAATTGTATGACTAACCACAATTCCCAGCGCCGTACCAATCAACCCCCCCCACCACCCCATCCTCTGACAATTTCATGAATCCTCACAATTCACCGTCGCACTTCGATGCACAAATGGGTTATTTTTGTTACCCCGTAGGGAATGCAGTCACCTCCAGTGGCTCGAGGGGGAGATGTGAACTCTTTACATACAGCGCACAATTCAAGGCATGTATGATGAGCTTAGGAATTGGCATTGAGGGATTGATGCATCGTTACTGCACACCATAAGCCGCATCCACTGCACAAAACTATGGCAGATGCGGATGATACCTGATGCACAAATGGAAATTACAGACTCTCCAGTGTGCGACTGTGGTCATCCAGAACAGACTACACAACGTTCACGACGCAATGCCCGATCCACAAATATGAAGGAGACATCACAGCGATACTCCTGATGCGGTTATCTGGCTTGACCACCTGAACGTGAGATTGTAGTTCGTGCTCTGCATCTACATCAGCCGGACAAAAGAAGAAGGCTGTCCTAGTACTTCACACCGGGTGCGCTTGCTACTTTGAGGCTTTTCACTGCAGAGAGAGGTGGCTCTGTCGCCATCTAGTGGTATTCGCGAGCATGCACAACGTTTTTGTTCGTACATAAATACCCCCCCCCCGCCCGCCCCCTCCGATTCTCCCAATCATTTAGAAAAAATTAAAGCAATTATGGGAAATTATAACCCTGAAATGCATCAATGCACTCATGACAGGTCAGTACAACTTGCCCGTGGATGCGCGCGTGTACGATACGCGCCGTATCTGATTAAAAAACGGACAAAGGGGTCGTACGAATGAATTCTAATTTTCATTCCAGATAGTTTTTTTTTCTGGGTGAGCATGTGTATCATTTGTTGCACGTGTGTGTGTGTGGTTAAGGTTGACTAGTGGGGATCGGAAGTGTGCCGAGTTCGAAACCATGCCCACGGCCAACACCAGTGACGATTATGTGAACTGGTCCTGGGCCTCCCCTTGGTCGACTCAGCCTCGAATGAGTACCTGGTGAGGTGTGTAAACGTCGCCACTGCGGAGACAAAGGCGGCCAGGCGTGGTGCTGGCTACCCACCGACCTCCTCGTTTGCCGTGCCAGCCTCCGTAGGTGCTCCCTAACCACTCTTGCCCCAACAGCCCATGAAGGCTACCATGGAGGATATTTGTCTTTGTGAAAAAAGCAATAAGTGCACCTGAATTAGTATTGTCTTTGTATAATGCTCCAGATAGCCGGAGGCCCTGAGTTTGATGTCTGGCTGAAGCCACGTGAAGTTCGAAATCTTTACACTCCACATAATTACACACAGATGCTTATAGAGAAATGTTTGACTACTTAGAGTACCATTGTTGTCTAACAATTGAAAAAGTCATGTGCTTGAATGCTGGTCGATAAAGTGAGTATCGCTCCCTGGATATCAACAGTGATCCATAGCACCTGAAAGTGTCTCGTGCCGTAAACAAAATATGCAACTGTCACACTTAAACTCCTTTCAGACATCCTGCGACACACAGCTCGATGTGTTTCTACAAGGTAACAATAGTAGTACCAATTAGCGGCCCTTTGTATATCCACTGCTGGATGAAGGCCTCCCCCCCCCCCCCCCCCCCACACCGTGTAGGTCATGGTAATTGAGCATACTTCACCATTTGGGAATTGGTTATTCTGGTGGGAAGGGGACAAGATCATATCGCAGCTCTTTTTCAGAAGCAAACCTGACCACAAATGACAGCTCGACGAAGCGGCTTATCGTGTGGGAATTTATGGCGACAAATAATCTCAACGGATGTTCCGAAATGTGGAGGGGAAAACCGGAGGACCCAGAGAAAAAATAATCCACGTGGCGGTGGCGAGATGTTTATTTACGTCGCATGGTATGGAGGAGGTTGTGGGTTCAATCCCAACCCTGACGCCTGTATATTTAGAGTTTGCATGTTCTCCACGTGGTCGTGCGGATGTTTTCTTTGGGGCCACCGGGTTTTCCCTCCACATTTAGAAACATGCGTTTAGATTATATTTCTGCTATCAAATTCCACGCGATAAGCCACCTCGTTGAGCTATCATTTCTGGGCAAGTCGCTTCTGAAAATAAGCTAATTACTCAGTGGGATTTACCTGGTAAGATAAAACATTATTATTTAGTTGTATTCGTATATTTTTAAGCGATTTGTTTACCTTTCCTATACTATACACTTCTATCGTGTTGTTGTACTATTTGTTGTTGTAACATTCTGACCTGCCCCTTCTGTACATCAGTGAAAAAGAGCTTTATAGCTCATCGGATTCCTCCCTTATAAATAAACATTCTCATTCACATTCAAGATGAGCGCTATTTAGTTTATTTTGCCTCGCATCTGCCTGGCCATGCTGGGTCCCGTACAATGTTTGAATGTGGACGAGGGTGGCCTAATTTCTGCAGTCAATTCGATGCATTTATTGAGTAATGCCGCACGGGTCGCACAGCATTAGCGCGCGCTCCCGCGCGCTGCCTGCCAGACAGGCAATTCGGAGCACGGGGCGCACGTGCATCTCGTGTGCCGGATCCCATTAGAAATCTACAGAGATGATGCACAACTAAATACTGATTTGTGACTCCGGTGTTTTCTCTGTCAGGCGCATTACATACTGTCTTGTGGTTGTTGTTGTTTTTTTTTGTAGTAAAGACAACGACTGGACTTGTACGAGTCTGTAGTTGTGTCGAGGTGGAGCGGTTACACGGTGGAACGGGGCCACGTGACTTTGATCATTGTAAATGGCTAACATGACTGGCTAGGGATCTTGTATTTGGACCCCGAGGCACCGACCCACACGTGGATGAAGTGCAGTCAGACGACCCCCGAGACTGATGAAAAGGCTGATAATTACCATTTTAAATATATGCATTTAAAACACATACTCCCAAAATGCATCGCCCTTTGTGAGAAGGAGCTGTTCAGAGCCCCTGCATCATTGTGCACGCGAAGCACTGAGTTTACATTGTGAAAGTTTACATTTTCTTACTGGCCTCTCGCTCTCCTCCTCCCGTCCAAACCATCACCTTCACTCCTCTCTCTCTCTCACCTCTTTCCTCTGCCGTCAACCTAAGGTGTCACCTTCTTTATTTTTGTCTAGCCGCTGAACAAAGACGGTCACCGCATCGAGCGCTTTCAGATGCGCTACTGCGGCCGTCTGGAACGCTCTTCCTTCCGATATTAGGAAGCCACTGTAGGGATGCACTTAAAATCCGCCCTCTCATTTAAATTTCTCCTGTCAAACCCCTGGTTCATTATTTGATCTTCACCCCTCTGCACTACTGCTATTATCTTCTACTCGGTCTACCTGCCTCTGTGATCGCTTCCCTCCAACAAATTCAAAATGCTTCTACACCACTTATTTTCAATCTCCCCTTTAATGATCACACTTCGCCTCTCCTCCCCCTTCAACTCCATTGGCTTCCCATTTACTACATCCCTGTCTTTTCAAATACCTGATGCTATCCTGCAAATTATCTGAATGGCCTTGCCCCACCTCATCTTACCTCTCTCATCTCATTACGATCTCCTCTTCGTTCCAAATCTTCGGCCTGTCTCTTTTTGTCCCTCCTACTCGCTGTGCCAAATCCCATTTTTTCGGCCCTTCTCCCTCCTTGCACCCCTCCACTGGAATAAACTTCACCTGTACATTAAAGCAGTCCCCCTCCTTAACCGCCTCCCATGCCTCTCTTAAAGCCTCACCTCTTCTCTATTGCCCATTTTCTTCCTTCCAGCCGCCCCTCCACACCTTCCCGTCCCTCTCCTGGCCATTCATGATCCCTAAGTACCCCTCGATTGATCTCGCTCATTCCTCAACCATTGTAGCACGCGCCTGTCACCTACATCATTCCGTGCTGTCATCGCCTTGTAAGGTATATGTCGAGCGCCTTGAGTGAAAGTACTCTATATAAATATACAATTACATTAGAAAGGAGTCAACTTGAGAATGCATGTACGTATGTTGAACTTCTTTCGTACTCTACGTAGCCAACCGTGCTAATTGGAAGTGTGGGGGAAGGACAACGAACAAAAAAAACATTAATCGATTCGAAAGAAATTAGCTTTCAATCTAGATTATTTAAAAGAACACATCTTCAGTGGCTCCCTAATATCAGAAGGAAGAGCGTTCCTGGCAGCGACCATCTTTGTTCGATGGCTAGCTAAAATTCGCTGCTGCGAAGATGACCGCAGTTCGCGGATTGGCTTACGGCCCTTGACGATAACAGCAAGGTGTTTTGGTTCGTCTGCGGCAAGCACTTACAAAAAACATTCCTTCAGCGAACGGATGCCAACGCAGCTCGGCGAGCACTGGACGGACACGGTCGGGAGTTGGCATGACCGGCGCACGAGTAAAACGCGCGCAATGATGCTACGCGCCCTGCCCCGTAACTCCCAACGCCGTTGTTGCGTGGCGCGTCGCGACGTGCGCGGCAGAAACAGCGGCGGTGTCGCGGTTGGCGGCTCACAGTGCGCGTCCAGGAAGGTGAGAACGTCCCCGCGAGCCTCGCGTGAGCCCAGCAGCCGCGCGGCAGTTAAGCCGCGGCGTGGCCGCTGACGCAGCACGCGCACCAGGCCGCCCAGGTGAGACACCTGTTCCTCCAGACGCGCGCCCAGGTGCTCTGCCACACGCAGGCAATGAGCACGGACCCACACACGACAGCAGCAGCATGGTGATTAATCACCGTCGTTCACGTTGGATAACCATCGCCCATATCATTGTCATCATCACAAGATGAAATCAATATCAATGTGTTTCCATCACTGTTTGCGATTTAGCATAAACTAAAACTAAACTGCGTGTTTTTTTGTTTTTAACAGGTAAGGCCCACTGAGCTCTATATAGCTCTTTTTTAAGAAGCGACCTGGCCGCGAATTTTAGTTCAACGAAGTGGCTTGTCATCATGTGGAAATGTATAAATGCCAAATACTCTGAACGCGTGTTGATTCTAAATGTGGAGGGAAAAAACAGATTACCAAGAGAAAAATCCACGCGACCACGGGAGAACATGCAAACTCCAAATATACAAGTGTCAGGGTCGGGATCGAACCAACGACCTCCTGTATATCAGGCGAGGTAGTTAACATCTCGCCACCGTGGCTATCTGCATCATCATTGCAATGACTATGCCAGATCAGTAACATCATAATATAAGCAAATTAATAATCAAGTTGATGTTTTTCTTTAATCAACATCAATCGATTCTCACTCTCACTATAAATGCATCGAATTGTGTCTCTGAAAATGTTTTGCAGGCCTTTCTAAATCCACTGCTGGATAAAGGCCTACTCAAGCCAAGCCTGTTATATGGGTTTTTTTACCATACTTCACCAAGCTCGTCAGTGCGGATTGGTGGAGGGGGTGCCAGGACCGGTTCAAAATGTCACTCGCTGCTGATACTCGGTATGCTGGGTTGAAAGCACAGCACGCTAACTAATGTGCCAACACTCCCGTCAGACGATTTATGACTGTAGTACATGACATGCAAATGATATGGTGTCATTACATTTAGGATAACGGAGTGGACAAAATGTTACGAGACGGATTAAATAAAAAACGAACACGTGTGAAATAAGAGAAATATAACATCTACATGATTCTATAAACGAATCGAAACCCAAACAACAATTCATTGAATGACAGGGCGTGGTGAATCTTTACAATCAGGGATTCATTTAATCCGTGCTTGTCTGGATCAGCGACCCAGAAATAATTTCCACCCTCGGCATACCACATCCAAAATACCTCTCGCTATGGCTGCGTTTACTCTCCACGTGCCACCTCCGAGTTTACCGACGACCCATAATGTATTCAGTGAGTAACTAACTATATGAACTATTTTTATTTTATCAGGAAAGGCCCATTGAGCTACAGTGAGGGAAAAAAGTATTTGATCCCCTGCTGATTTTGTACGTTTGCCAAACTGACAAATAAATTATCAGTCTATAATTTTAATGGTAGGTTTATTTGAACAGTGAGAGACAGAATAACAACAAGAAAATCCAGAAAAACGTATGTCATAAATTGATTTGCATTTTAATGAGGGAAATAAGTATTTGACTCCTCTGCAAAACATGACTTAGTACTTGGTGGCAAAACCCTAGTTGGCAATAACAAAGGTCAGACGTTTCTTGTAGTTGGCCACCAGGTTTGCACACATCTCAGGAGGGATTTTGTCCCACTCCACTTTGCAGATCTTCTCCAAGTCATTAAGGTTTCGAGGCTGACGTTTGGCAACTCGAACCTTCAGCTCCGTCCACAGATTTTCTATGGGATAAGGTCTGGAGACTGACTAAGCCACTACAGGACCTTAATGTGCTTCTTCTTGAGCCACTCCATTGTTGCCTTGGCCATGTGTTTTGGGTCATTGTCATGCTGGAATACCCATCCACAACCCATTTTCAATGCCCTGGCTGAGGGAAGGAGGTTCTCACCCAAGATTTGACGGTACATGGCCCCGTCCATCGTCCCTTTGATGCGATGAAGTTGTCCTGTCCCCTTAGCAGAAAAACACTCCCAAAACATAATGTTTCCACCTCCATGTTTGACGGTGGGGATGGTGTTCTTGGGGTCATAGGCAGCATTCCTACTCCGCCAAACACGGCGAGTTGAGTTGATGCCAAAGAGCTCCATTTTGGTCTCATCTGACCACAACACTTTCACCCAGTTGTCCTCTGAATCATTCAGATGTCATTGGCAAACTTCAGACGGGCATGTATATGTGCTTTCTTGAGCAGGGGGACCTTGCAGGCGCTGCAGGATTTCAGTCCTTCACGGCGTAGTGCGTTACCAATTGTTTTCTTGGTGACTATGGTCCCAGCTGCCTTGAAATCATTGACAAGATCCTCCCGTGTAGTTCGGGGCTGATTCCTCACCGTTCTCATGATCATTGCAACTCCACGAGGTGAGATCTTGCATGGAGCCCCAAGCCGAGGTAGATTGACAGTTCTTTTGTGTTTCTTCCATTTGTGAATAATCACACCAACTGTTGTCACCTTCTCACCAAGCTGCTTGGCAATGGTGTTGTAGCCCATTCCAGCCTTGTGTAGGTCTACAATCTTGACCCTGACATCCTTGGAGAGCTATTTGGTCTTGGCCATGGTGGAGAGTTCGGAATCTGATTGATTGATTGCTTCTGTGGACAGGTGTCTTTTATACAGGTAACAAGCTGAGATTAGGAGCACTCCCTTTAAGAGTGTGCTCCTAATCTCAGCTCGTTACCTGTATAAAAGACACCTGGGAGCCAGAAATCTTTCTGATTGAGAGGGGGTCAAATACTTATTTCCCTCATTAAAATGCAAATCAATTTATACCATTTTTGACTTACGTTTTTCTGAATTTTCTTGTTGTTATTCTGTCTCTCACTGTTCAAATAAACCTACCATTAAAATTCTAGACTGATCATTTCTTTGTCAGTGGGCAAACGCACAAAATCAGCAGGGGATAAAATACTTTTTTTCCCTCACTGTATATAACTCTTTTTCACAAGTGCCCTGGCACACAAATGACAGCCCAATGAAGTGGCTTTACTCGCGTGGACATTTATTTTTCCATATCGGCCAAAATTCCTCTCAACGCACGTCGATTCTAAACGTGGAGGGCACAAAAACCCCGGAAGGGACCCGGAGGAAACGAAGCCGCGGTGGCCACCCGGACGCGCCCGACGCTGCCACCTTCCGTGCTGGCATCGTCCACCAGCAGCAGCTCGACGAGCAGCAGGGCGGGCGCCGTGTGGAGCACGCTGTACACGGTCCGCAGTAGCGTGCTCCACGCCTCGTTGTGGAACACCACGATCACGCTCGTCGTGGGAAGCGGCGGCGACCGCGGGAATCTCTGCTGCACGCACCTGGCCATGGAGGGGGCATATAAGGAGGAGGAGGAGGGTAGAGGACTGTGGATTTTGTGGTACCAACTTTGAGCTTGGACTTTTTAATACTGCGCCAGTGGTGAACTGCCCCCACTCATGGGATATGAGGCATGAGCGCAGGGGTCGGCGACCTGCGGCTCCGAAGCCGCATGCGGCCCATTTAAGGGCGGATCTCGAAATTCCCCCCCAAAATGCCGATCTTGTTATGTTGGTTGCCGACCCCTGATCATGGAATTCCAGTTAACCATGGGCAGGGGTCGGCAACCTGCGGCTCTAGAGCTGCATGCGACTCCTTAAGGACTGCTTTGTGAAGTTGTTTATTAAGGACTCGCCTTCTCGTATTCACCACACAGTGCATTGCGGCTCTTGAAATATGTTTTTTGCTGAGTTCAAAAGAATGACTCTTCTTGTTGTTTTTGTTTTCGACCCCTGGACTCGCGAGAAGAAAACAGCAATCGCCAATGTCCGCTCGAGACAAGTGATGTACAGCAGAGGCTGCATGTAAGCACACTTCTTAGGATCAACGCAAAGTGTGTTTATATCTGAAGAAGTGTGCTTGTATCAGAAGTTGCCCTTTGACACCCCCCACCAGTGTAATGTAAGCACGTGTTGCTCGTGTCAGAGACGTGATTTTATGAGGTGTGCTTATATCCAGCGTCTACTGCATGTGTGCCAAATGCCAGAAATATTTGGCAGATTCCATTGTATCATGTGAGGGCGGTACGTGTGTACGGTGAACTTCTTTCGCACCGTAAGTACCCAACCGTGCTAATCGGAGGTGCGGGGAAGGACAAGAAACTAAACATAGAAAGCAGTTCTAAAGAAATTGGTTTTAAATCTACAATTAAAAGTGCATAGCCACGGTGGCTTCCGAATATCGGAAGGAAGAGCGCTCGAGACGGCTGCAGAAGCGTATCTGAAAGCGCACGATGCAGTAATCGTCTTTGTTCGATGGCTAGCCAAAAACCGCTGCGAGGATGACTGGAGTTCGGGGGTGAGATGTTAACTACCTTGCCTGGTATGCAGGAGATCGTGGGTTCGATCCCGACCCTGAAGCCTGCTGTATATTTGGAGTTTTCATGTGTCTCTCCCCGTGGTCGCGTGAATGTGTCTCTGGGTCCTCCGGTTTTTCCCTCCACATTTAGAATCAATATTCGTTTAGAGTATTTGGCCGCTATACATTTCCACATGATAAGCCACTTCGATGAGCTATCATTTGTGGCCAGGTTTCTTCTGAGAAACAGCTATATATATCTCTCTGTGGGCCTTACCTGGTAAAATAAAACAAAGTTGAGTATAAAACTCGTTTTAGTTTACCGATTTCACCAACCATTTGCAAATCACAAAGGCTTGCTGTTTGTGATAAAAACTCATCAGTTTAACACGTAGGCTGTCACCTGATGAGGCTGGTTGTAATTACTAGTGAATCGTCGTACTCGAAATGTACATGTTGTGAGTTTACTCTCCAACACAAAACCGGTGTGCTGAACTAGTAACTAATTGGCACGTTTTGTTTACATGACAAACCTTACTAATTGCCTGTCAGGTGGTGGTGGTCGGTTTAACGACTCACTTTATATGCACGGTGATCTAACCAAATACAATGGAAAACCACCCAAGAGAGCGACTCAAGTAACTCACGGATGGACAAATGAAACGAAACGTGACTTCGTATTTTAGACAGATAATAAAAAGGCAGAGGAAGGCCTTCGAAGCCCCGCGACGCAACCATAAACCCGCCCTGAAGTCTCACTCGGGCGGACGCGTGTCGGGGCCCAGGTCCCTGTGGAGGGAGATGCGGTCACTGACGAACACGTTGAAGCAGTGCTTGGCAAAGCCTCGCTCCTTCTCGTCCAGCTCGTCGGGCGACAGTGCCCCGAGCCGGACCGCGGCCCCGCGGGCGCCGGGCGCCAGCGGGTCCTGCGAGGGCCTCCCCAGGTGGGGCTTCAGCTCGTCGGGGCCGTAGTGGTCAGAGCGGCTGCAGGGCTGAGAGCTCCTCGCTTCGTTCGCCTGCTCGTCGTACGGAGGCAAGAGAGAGACCAGCGCCGGCGATCACGCCGGCGTGTAAAAGGTCACAAAGCCGTACCCATGTGGAGCAGGGCCTCTCCAGTTGCGGAGCATGTCGGGAAAATCGAAACTAATTAAATAATGCTACGCTCAAAGGTAAATGCAGATCTGCATTTGCTCGCTCGCTTGCAGCCCTTTGTCGGATGAATGCCTCCCAATGTTGTGCAGGTCACGCAGGCTTTTTGACCATACTTCACCACGCTGGTCAGTGTATGTTGGTAAATAGGGACTCCAAAACTGGTACAGATGTATGTGTGTTGAACTTCTTTCACACCGTATGTGGCCAATCGTGCTAATCGAAGGTGCGGAGGAAGGACAACAAACTTGACGCAAAAAGCAGTTCGAAAGAAATGTGTTTTTTTAGTCTACATTTTAAAATGCCTAGCTCTAGTGGTTTCCTAATATCGAAAGGAAGAACGTTCCAGACGGCCGCAGAAGTGCATCGGAAAGACTTCACTGGCCACTGTTGTTAGCCGTGGCCGGGAGTTTAACCCAGGCGGCCGGTTTGGTAGAACAGTCCTAACCACTGCACGACCACTGCACCCCACCGGTTCACGTCAATGCGCAAGCTTTACAACCATCTCACTGTATCATGCCAACGTAGGGTACGCGTTCGTCAGGTTATTTCGTGAACACATTCCTGCGGAGGGAGCTGGTAGGAACGTTGGGTTGCTCGATCAATGGCCAGGGTCAACGGCGGCACCACGTGGTGTATTCCACAAATATTCCCGACTGTGAGGGCGGGCACAAGCCGGCGTGAGTAGGTTAAACGTTGAGATTTATAAGGGCACCACGGGGTGACCAGCCCCTCCCCACCGAGCCCCACTCCTCCCACCCCCCACCCAGCCCCACCCTCCTCACCCAGCCCCACCCTCCCCTCCCAGCCCCTCCCCACCCAGCCCCACCCCTCCCACCCCCCACCCAGCCCCACCCTCCCCACCCAGCCCCTCCCTCCCCACCCAGCCCCTCCCCACCCTCCCCTCTCCACCCAGCCCCACCCCTCCAATTTTTGAATGCACGACGGACGGACACAATCCCCTGTGGGCTGGTGGTGTAACCAGGAGGTTCCTACACAGTAAAAACTAAAAGTATGAAAATACACATGGTCAGAGGTGGGTAAAAAATGTCGTGGTGTACGCGCCATGAATAGAATAGCGCCTTTTTTTTAGGACGAGCTACTTTTTACGCAACCAGGTCTACACAAAGACAAATCCTTGGCGCAATTCGGGAGAAAGGCGATTAAAAAAAAACCTAATAAATGAGAATTAACGACAGCAGAAATTACTGTGTCCTCAAAAAGGGATCTGTAGCCAGGGTGAGGCGGCTGCTGCGGCTGTCGGGACCCACGGTCTGAATAAATTACGCGCAGAGCTGCCGGATCTTGCCGAATAATAATGATTATAGAATTTGCCATTAGTGCGCACGGAGTTGTGGACTTCACTCGGCTCTGCGGGGCAATGGGCAATACTGGGATAGTAGGCGGCACGCAACAACAACGCAGTGAAACCCCGACTTGGGGGTGAGCCACCTCCCGCCTCCACGTCGACCACCTACGTCCAAAGGCAACGTACGTTGAACTTCTTTCGCACCGTACGTAGCCAACCGCGCTAATCGGAGGTGAGCGGGATAGCTCTCACCGTCTTCAAGATGCCCCGCAGACTCGCCCCTCCCCACTGCGTACCTCTCCCCTCCCTCCATTCTCCCCTCGCTCTGCTCCGCGCGCTCCCCCTAATTCACCAACCGAGGTTCTCCAGTGAAAACCCTCAAATCAACCTTCACGCGGTGAGGTTCACTCCTTCTCCTGCTGCTGCCAACGTAATCTGGACCCCCCCCTCCTCCTCCTCCTCCGAAGGTTATCCGTGCTTGTATGTCATTACCACGATTGATTCAGTCGATGCGCAAGCCCTTTTTCTCCTCCTCCTTTATGACTGACTGTCTTATTAAACAAGTGCGTGTGTTTAATGGATCCCTGGAATGCGCATCTCCACTCTGCGCACATCATTTTAAGTAAGATACGGTTGCATATATACACACACGCGACCATCGTCATCAACACGATCTATCCGCTGCAGGATAATGGTCAAGCCACGCCATCGCCAGCCGTCATTGTCACCCGATGCCACGTTCGAATCCACAACTTGCACGCGAACTAATCGCGTCGCTTCCCCTTCTGCCGTGGTCATCTTCTTGGGCGCGTCCCCTCCTTCCCTGTGGCTGTCATTCAGTCACCAGCCTGGTCCATCCTCCATCACCCATTATGGTGGTGCGTCCTGCCGAAACCCATTTACAGTTTTTTTTTTCTTTCAGAATCAGAATCTTTATGTAGTCTGCAGGAGGAATCCGATGAGCTATGAAGCTCTTGTTCATAGATGTCCAGTATGGGCGGCTCAGCGCCCATACTGGACATCTATGAACACCACTATAGCGAACCCCGTTTTAAGTGTTTCCAATACAGTACTGTACATCCAAAGTGTACTGTAATTGTGTATGTTGGGCAACAGATAGCAGTGAAGCTAAATCAACCGGTGTACTGGACTCTATATGTCCCCACGTCTTCAGCGCTCTCTTGGCATTTACCGACCAGCACCAGGAAGCGTGGTGACGAATAGATCAAATAACCCCCACTTGACCCGCGTGGCGTTGCTAGCCAGCATTCAGCAAGATGTTAACTACCTCGCCTGGTATGCAGGAGATTGTAGATTCGATCCCGACCATGACGCCTGTATATTTTACTCTTTCCATGTTTCTCTCCCCGTGGTCGCGTGGATTTTTCTCCGGAACCTCCCGTTTTTACCCCTCTACAATTAGAAAGATGCGTTTAGAGGATTTAGGCTGCTCTAATATTTCCACGTGATAAGCCACTTTCGCATGAGCTATAATTTGTGATGGCCGAGCTGCTTCTGAAAAAGAGCTACAGAGTAGCTCGATGGGCCTTACCTGGTAAAATAAAAAAATTGTAAATAGCACATGCACGGCATAGGCTGGGCGTTAATGAACAACGACCATTGCGGATGGAGACCGTATTGAATTAGCGTAGGCGAGTAGTCGTGGCGCGCACGCCTACACATGTACAATACAGCGACCCCTCTCTATCCGCGTTAGTTACGTTCTTTAAAACGCTCGCGGACGTAGCATTCGCGAATGCAGAAACCTTGTTGCAATGGGGAAAATGGGATTACGTTCCAGAGTACGAGTGAACATGGGGGGGGGGGGGGGGGGGGGCGGGGTGGGGGGTAAATGTCCAATGACTACAATACATCAATAATTCGTTATAAAGAATAACGTGTTGTTTTATTACCTTTGATGATGATGATTTGACGGCGATAAAAGTGGTGGTGATGGTGAGGAATTCGGGAGGACTCCTCGTGAGATGCAGGTGTTTGATAACAACGCCGCACAGTTCTTTTCAATGTAGCACTCTGGGGAGCGCTCGCCGCAACACTTTCCCTGATTACATTCGCCTTCCTTTTTAATGGACCGCACGGTCGACTCGGTGATCTGGCACGACGCACGCTCGCGAATGCTGGAGTCCAGCGGTTCGCGAATAGGGAATCAGAACGCGAATATGCAGGGAGGGTTGACCGTACCTGCTTCTTGGCGGGGGCCCTAATCTGCAGCCGCAGCACGGCTCCCACGCGCGCTGGAGCCCCGGGATTTTCCTCCGCGTCGTCCGCGGCGCCCTCGAGGTCCCCGTTCCCGGGGGGGTCTCCGGGCTGCACCTGGAGCTCGGGCTCTCCGCCCGGCGGCGTGGGGACGGGAAGGGGCAGGAGGAGGCGCGGCGAGCGGCGCGAGACGTCGGCGCGCAGCACGAGCGCGGCGAGCAGAAGCAGAGCGAGGAGACCGGCGGCGCGCCACGCGGTCGCGGGCCGGGCTCGCCTCGCCTGCACCAGGCGGAGCGCCGTCAGGGCCATGCGGTACATGGCCACAGCGAGAGAGAGTGTCGAGGGGGGGGGGGGGGGGGGGGGGGTCCGGCCACGGCGGAGCCAGCAGCCACAGGAGATGGCTAGCGAGGGAGAGATGGTTTGGGGTGGGGAGACGGAGGGAGAGAGTGATGGATAAATGGATGGACGTAAATGACGAGAGGGATTAATGGATAGGTGGACGGAGGCGACGGACAGATGGATGGAAGAATGCAGAGGCGGACAGATAGACAGAGGTGATGAATGGATGTAGAGATGGATGGACGTAGGGACGGATACAGGGAGTGATGAAAGGATCTTCGGCTGGCCTCGGGAGGCAAAGAAAGGCGCTGAGTTGCGCTCTCACTGCGGGTCAGTCGGCGTCCTCATCCCACGGCGTGCACCCCGAAACCCGGAGGAGGCTGTCTCACAGAAATACAGCGTGCGATTAATGAACCAAATCCATCACTTAAACGCGCGTCTTCGGTTCGCAATCCTCGCAATCAGCCTGCAAAGATCCCAGCGCTCGCGCTCAAGCTAAAGGCGCGCACGGAACTCCCGTTGAGTGCACAGATCAGGACAAATCACGCGTCAAAGCGGAACAAGTTGAGCTTACCGATTTGCAACAAAGAACACGAAAGTGTGAGCGTATGTCGAGATTAAAATGCAGGCTTGCGTTAACCAACGACGAATGCGTGCGTTTTGAGTGGGGCGCCTCGTGGTCGTTCCGAGCTGTAAGCTAAAACGACACTGACAACGTATCTTCGAAAATCCGAATTAATCCCAGACCGGGCGAGTGTAAGACTCGGGCGCCTCGCGGCGAAGTTTTATTTCTCCGTGGCCACAAACGAGCGACAATGAAGAGGCGAATGGGCAAAAGTGTAGTCGCGACGGGGCTAATGGGGGAAGGGATTAAGTTACGGAGGTGCGAGACAGAACCCCCCACTGAGCAGGTCCCGCAGAGCGAGGCAGGTGTTGTTAGGAGTTCGTGGTGGGGGGGGAGCGGTCCGTGGAGGGAAAGCGGTTGGGGGTGTTTCGGGGTCGCACGGGAAGAGAGCCGGTGGTGCAGACACCTCGACACACTTGAGAGGAAATAACACATTCTCCCCCTCCCTCTCTACGAGGAGGAAGAAGGAAAAACAACACCCAGGAACAGCTGTGAAAAATCGACTTAATTCAAAATGTCCTTACCGCTCTCAGGTCCGTGAATTCTGGAGATTTGTGCGGACAATTTTGCGCGATTTGCGCACATTCCCGTCCGTCATTCCAGGTCGAACACAGCGCGTGGGCGTCTCTCTCTCTCTTTGCTGTGGCGACCTAGCGATGCCGTCTGTCCCATGTAATGGGGACGAGGGCTTTGCTAACGGCGTGCCAATGTCTATCCCGTGAGTTGAGGGGGTTGGGGGTGGGAGTAAGGAGGAGAGGAGACCACACATTCAGGATCTTCGCGCTCCTAGACGGATGTTGACAAAGCTGATCAAACATCTAACACTGCAGTCAAGCGGCGGGTGACTGATGAGCACATAGCGGCGGTGAGTTTTGTCTTGTTTGTGTGTGTGCGTGTTAATTATTGATATCGTGACTTAAAGCTTTCGTGACTGCAGGAATTAATATTCTTGCGTCTGTCGGTAAAGTGACGTGGATAGGTTCAAATAACCTATCCACGTGACTATCTACGTGACTTTACCGATAGACCCAAGAATATTGATATCGTGTTTGCTGAACACACGCAATTTACGAAGTGCACATAGACAATTGATGCGGAGGCCCAACGGGTGGAGAGTTGGGGAGATGGAGAGGTGGGCGAGATTGTGGTGAGCGCATATGGGGGCGCCCGGGGTCAGTAGGAGGTGATTGATCTACGCCTGGTGTTACCATCGACAACTTAACCAGAAGTGTCCATTCGCGAGAACGCGTTTATAATTGTGCTTTTCATATATTTTTTTATCATGCACACAGGACGCTCAAAGTATTCCAGTGTATCTGCCACCCCGTTAATTCTCGCCACAATCTCTCTCGAGAGCTATGACCAATTCGCGGGTCATTAAATTAACATTTTTATCCTCAGAGATTAGCGCACGGACTTGTATGATGGGGCTGTCGAAATGAAGCGGGGTGGGTTTCTCTCTCACAATATCTCTCCGATGCTTCCTTCTCGTAGGCGACGCTTGCAACCCGTTATATAAAGCCTCATTAAGTTCCTTTATGCCACGTAACTATACATGCGGCGCGCTCATCACCATAACAATGGGACATCAATGATACTCAAATCCGTGTTTTTTTATGTTTAACATCAAAATTAGTGGCGCAGTGGTTAGCGCATTGCTGCCATAAACACGGCTCCCTGACGGTCGATTATCGGCCACGGTTAACATCATTAAGTGCCGAATAAAATCTGAGCCGATCGTCCGCCTCTACCACCTTCACCAAACTGCAATGACCAACATGGTGAAGGAGGGTCAAACAACTGCCATGTCCGACACGGCTAGAGATGCTTTCATTCAGCAATTGATTGACAAAAGGGCTATCATTTGTTATTTTACTATTCTAAAGGAAACGTACATGCTCTGCTCCGATTAGCATGGTTGGCTACGCACGGTGCGAAAGAAGTTGAACGGACACGAAGAGGGGCCATTGCCCGAAACGTCGCCGATTATATAGTTTCCCTTCTTGGGATGTGGTATTGACGAATGAGTGGAGATTGTATTATTGTTATTATTGCGCTGGTGCACGCACCAGCGCCAACGCAGCATCTCAATTTTGTTTAATTCCGAATGAAGAAGACCAATCAGTCCCACGGCGTACCGGCGAAAACGCGTACCGGACAACGTAGCGACCCGGGAGTGCATTTGCATGTTACCACTGCAAAGCGACCGCGTGTGTGCGCGCCTCCGTTACCTGCAAAGGGCGGCGCGGATGACCACCGTCTCGGTGTCTTTAAGCTCCCGCCGCCGCCGCTGCTGCTGCTGCTGCTGGGCTACGCCGAGCATGCGTCTCGCTGACGTGAGAAGGGTGGAGTGCTAGGGGACGCACGGACCGCCGCGCGAGGGCTCCCACCCCCGATCTCGCTTTTCTCTCTTCATGTGAGCGGAGGGCTTTTCTCGCAGTCAGCGTTTTCAGAGTGCAGGCGGAGACCGCTGCACTGTAGTAACAATGCAGCTTTGAGCATTCATCCCTTGTGAAGTTTCCAGGAGGGTGGTCTCCTCCTTCCTCTCCCCCTTCTCGTCCGCCTTACTCCTCGGAGAAGCCACTGCGTTTGCGCAGCACGCTTCGTGAAGAGCGATAGTAACAACGACACGAGTAATGTTGTTTCATTACCAAGTGAGGTAGGCAAGCCTCTCGCCTACGACAAAAAAAATAACAACCCCAAGCGCGCCCGATCTCGCGACACCGCGTGAAGCTAAGCTGGGCTCGTCCTGCTTCGTAGTTTATGTGAATGAGAGACCACCTGTGGGTACCAGGTGTTGTAGACGCGGGTCGTCGAGGTGCCAGAGAATGGCAGTGCAACAACGCAATCCATCCGTGCGGAGCTTTTGATTGTTTATCTCATATTCGTGATGGGGATTTTTTTTCTCTTCCGGGCACTCCGGTTATATGTCGTATGAAGCCAAATACTTTTTTTTTATGGAATTGACCAAAACTTCCCAACGCAGGACCCTCCTTTGAAAAGAGGCTTAATGTCAGTGAAGCTTTTCTGTTTGACTAATTGCCATTAATATGACTATTTTCAAGGGAGCGATTGGTTTCGAACAATGCCAACGGCTACAAATACACTGAAACTATACGACGCACAATTTTGCAGCTGAACATGTTCACACATATCCATAATACAGCAGGATTAAAAAAAAGTGCGATATAGAAGGCCAATGATTCATATAAATCACATTCAGATTGTCCGACCAATGAATTCGACCGAAAGTAGAAGACCGATTGTAAGGAAACAGCCGTTTAGTACAAAGGAAGACGCGATATTGTTCCCGATTCGCGAGACAAAGTGAATGAAGGACCATTATCTGAATTCTACGCAGACACACGCTTGCCATCTTTAATCATTGCACACGCTCTTTTGCCCCGACACGTACCTTTGATGCGACAATCTCTGTCGTAAGAGCACTTTTGAATGCTGATGGCGCTTGTCGTTGCTATGATTGTATATAGACTGTGATATGACGCATCACATTCACTTTCAGCCCTTACACAGATTACAACTACACCCTGCGCATGGTATCTGCACCTGATATAATGAAGCTCCGGAAATAGCAACCAATATCTTAAAGGGGCCCCCCACGGCGAGTCTGGACACTACATAATTAATCACTTTTCATTCAACTTCTTCTCGGTCTTGGAAGCGCCTGGCAGGAACGTCCCACACGAACGCGCACGCATAATCCGAATTTTAAAAGCGCCGGTCACCACCAGGAGACAGAGGAACAGATAGAGATAAGCACAGAGAGACAGAGAGAGAGAGGAGCCAGATGCAATCTCGGTGGGTAAGAGTCGACACTCCGATGGTCGTTGTGCTGTCGAGATTGTGCCGGGGGACGCCGCCGGAGCGAGGAGGCCTCGCCGCTGGCACGACTTGAAGTGACAAGAGCCGTGAGCTCCTCACGCCCACAAAGGGGAATGTTTTCGAGACAAAAGACCCGAAGGTCGCTCCGCAGGGACCGCTTTGTGCGTCGCTATGGGAACTTCGCGAGCGAGGACCGCGAACAAAGCCGGGCATTGAAGGGATTTTTTTTGTGAATAAAGAAAGCGTCAAGATGTGCTGCCTGGCTGCCCGGATGGCTGAGTGGTACACTCCGAGTGACTAGCTGGTTGGTACGCATAGGCTGGCTGGCTGGTATGTATGTATAGGCTGGCTGGTACGCATAGGCTGCTCAATGGTATGTGTAGGCTGGGTGGGTGGTACAGTGAGGGAAAAAAGTATTTGATCCCCTGCTGATTTTGCACGTTTGCCCACTGACAAAGAAATGATCAGTCTATAATTGTAATGGTGGGTTTATTTGAACAGTGAGAGACAATATAACGCATGTCAAAAATGTTATAAATTGATTTGCATTTAAATGAGGGAAATAAGTATTTGACCCCTCTGCAAAACATGACTTAGTACTGCTGGCAAAACCCTTGTTGGCAATCACAGAGGTCAGACGTTTCTTGTAGTTGGCCACCAGGTTTGCACACATCTCAGGAGGGATTTTGTCCCACTCCTCTTTGCAGATCTTCTCCAAGTCATTAAGGTTTCGAGGCTTGAGTTTGGCAACTCGAACCTTCAGCTCTCTCCACAGATTTTCTATGAGATTAAGGTCTGGAGACTGGCTAGGCCACTCCAGGACCTTAATGTGCTTCTTCTTGAGCCACTCCTTTGTTACCTTGGCCGTGTGTGTTGGGTCATTGTCATGCTGGAATACCCATCCACGACCCATTTTCAATGCCCTGGCTGAGGGAAGGAGGTTCTCACCCAAGATTTGACGGTACATGGCCCCGTCCATCGTCCCTTTGATGCGGTGAAGTTGTCCTGTCCCCTTAGCAGAAAAACACCCCCAAAGCATGATGTTTCCACCTCCATGTTTGACGGTGGGGATGGTGTTCTTGGGGTCATAGGCAGCATTCCTCCTCCAAACACGGCAAGTTGAGTTGATGCCAAAGAGCTCCATTTTGGTCTCATCTGACCACAACACTTTCACCCAGTTGTCCTCTGAATCATTCAGATGTTCATTGGCAAACTTCAGACGGGCATGTATATGTGCTTTCTTGAGCAAGGGGACCTTGCGGGCGATGCAGGATTTCAGTCCTTCACAGCATAGTGTGTTACGAATTGTTTTCTTGGTGACTATGGTCCCAGCTGCCTTGATATCATTGACAAGATCCTCCCTTGTAGTTCTGGGCTGATTCCTCACCGTTCTCATGATCATTGCCACTCCACGAGGTGAGATCTTGCATGGAGCCCCAGGCCGAGGGAGATTGACAGTTCTTTTGTGTTTCTTCCATTTGCGAATAATCGCACCAACTCTTGTCACCTTCTCACCAAGCTGCTTGGCAATGGTCTTGTAGCCCATTCCAGCCTTGTGTAGGTTTACAATCTTGTCCCTGACATCCTTGGAGAGCTCTTTGGTCTTGGCCATGGTGGAGAGTTTGGAATCTGATTGATTGATTGATTGCTTCTGTGGACAGATGTCTTTTATACAGGTAACAAGCTGAGATTAGGAGCACTCCCTTTAAGAGTGTGCTCCTAATCTCAGCTCGTTACCTGTATAAAAAACACCTGGGAGCCATACATCTTTCTGATTGAGAGGGGGTCAAATACTTATTTCCCTCATAAAAATGCAAATCAATTTATAACATTTTTGATATGCGTTTTTCCGGATTTTTTTCGTTGTTATTCTGTCTCTGACTGTTCAAATAAACCTACCATTAAAATTATCGACTGATCATTTCTTTGTCAGTGGGCAAACGTACAAAATCAGCAGGGGATCAAAGACGTTTTTTCCCTCACTGTATGTATAGGCCTTCCGTCATCAGTGAGGATTTGTCCCATGCTTGGCACACTGGTGTTGCTGCCTGGTGCATACATATACAATAGTTAATGAATGGCTGGTACACGCAGTATGTATGGTTTCTGGATGGCTGATACAAGTGGTTTAGTGCAATGCGATAACAACTGATAAACATCATCTATATGCTTTGTGAATGCCTTAATGTACTGAGCAATCCGTGAACACATTGACATCGTGCAGTAGCCTATATGGAATTAAGACTATGCTGTGCATATGGTGGTGGAGCGGCGGCACTTGTGTTCAGCGGACAGCGCCAACAACTAGAGACATGAGTTCAATTCCTGGCGACGACTAATAAGAGTGCTGAATAATGTGAAACAGTCACGCCCCAAACCGCCCACCCCCCCGGAACCAATCTGCACTAACCAGCATGGTAAAGTATGGTCAAACAGCCCTATAACTACACATCATGGGGAGGCTTTTACTCAGCAATGGATTGACAAAGGGCTGGACTGTCATGTATGTTTATTAATGTATTCAGTCGATATATCGACAATTTAATCAAGCATTCGTAAAATAAAACAGTGGAATTGATGGATGCTTTATTGGTATATTGGTAATACACAATTAATATATTGAATACCTATTGAATATTCAACTCATAAAATTAATTATTTACTACTACTACTATTTTTATATTATTGGTTCACGTAAATATAAAAATAAAATAATAAAAATCCACGACGTTTCGATCGCCTGAAGAAGACCGCTTGTGTTGCGATCGAAACGTCGTGGGTTTTTGCTTTTGTTTTTTTATTTTAAATTTACGTGACTTTACCGAAAGAACCAAGAATATGAATTCCTGCAGTCACGGAAGTTTTAAGTCTAAATACTACTATTTTATTTAATTTTACCAGGTAAGGACCACTCTAGTTCAGAAGCGACCAGGTCACAAATAAACGCGTGTTGATTCTAAATGTGGAGGGAAAAATCGGAGTTAAAATAATTGTTTATATACGAAACATGAATTCTACAAACACACAAGCCGATCATAAACTTAAAATGTGAGAATTTTATTGCGTTATTTTATTTGATCAATTTAATATTTTATTCTCATTCTACGTGACTTTACCGAAAGAACCAAAGAAGGTTAAAATGTTGGCATTCCATAGCGGATAAATCAATAAACTAATAAATGCCCAATCACTATAGCAACCAGCTTGATCCAGTGGTGACACTTCGTCCGCAACTTGGTTCAAAGGCGTTTCATGTAGCTGCTGCTGCAGAGTTTTGGAACCAACTGGGGTCTTCTCTGGGGATCATCACTCTGCTATCACTGGACTCTTTTAGACAGACATTATTGAGGTCGAAAATAATGTGCGTAATTGTTTTGTACCATCATTTGGTTTATTTTACATTTCTAATATTTTATATCTTGCTTATTAACTGTTGCTGCTTGGCCTAGTCACCCTTGACAAAGAGCTGTATAGCTCAATAGGTAATTAACTCGGATAATAGAGTTCTGACCTCCAGTGGTCAACATCTGTGATAAAGAGCTTCACAGCTCATCGGAATTCCTCCTGAAAAAATAAATATTGATTCTGACGTGCCGCCCATAATCACGCCCCCTTCACCCCAACACCGCCCCTCACCCTTCACTCCAACTCCCTAACCCCTCCCCTTTCCCCCACCCCCCGCCCGTTACCCTTCACTCCAACCCCCTAACCCCTCCCCTTTCCCCCCACCCCCCGCCCCTCACCCTTCACTCCAACCCCGCCCCTTCCCCCACCTCCCGCCCCTCACCCTTCACTCCAACCCCCTAACCCCGCCCCTTTCCCCCCACCCCCGCCCCTCACCCTTCACTCCAACCCCCTAACCCCTCCCCTTTCCCCCCACCCCCCGCCCCTCACCCTTCACTCCAACCCCGCCCCTTCCCCCACCTGCCGCCCCTCACCCTTCACTCCAACCCCCTAACCCCGCCCCTTTCCCCCCACCCCCGCCCCTCACCCTTCACTCCAACCCCCTAACCCCGCCCCTTTCCCCCCACCCCCGCCCCTCACCCTTCACTCCAACCCCGCCCCTCACCCTTCACTCCAACTCCCTAACCCCTCCCCTTCCCCCCACCTCCCGCCCCTCACCCTTCACTCCAACCCCCTAACCCCGCCCCTTTCCCCCCACCCCCCGCCCCTCACCCTTCACTCCAACCCCCTAACCCCGCCCCCTTCCCCACATTCCCGTCCATCAGCATTCACTCCAACCCCCTAACCCCGCCCCTTCCCCCCCACCCCCCGCCCCACTCCCTTCACTCTAACCCCCCCCCTAACCCCACCCCCTTCCCTCCCCACCCCTCTCCTCCCCCTGCTCGGAATTCTCCACCAACTCCCCAACCCTCCCACGTAGCCAGCGCGAATCAGCCCGCGTCGTGTGAGCGCTGGTCCGCGTGGGCGCCGCCTCCTCCGCCGCAAGCCGCCACGTCAGTCGTCGCCGCGCCGCGTCGCCGACGTTCCGAGCCTCCCCGTGCGCCTTCTGCGAGAAGGCCCCGCCGAGAGCGGACTAGAGAGCTGCGCTATCCGCACCGCACCACCATGGGCGGCTCGCAGAGCGTCGCTGTGCCCGGCGGGGGCAGCGAAGGCTACCACGTCCTCAGGGTGAGGGGGACACACGCGCCGCGCGCCTTTTAAGACGCCTTCCCGGATCGCCGAGGACGCCCGCGGAGCCTACCCCAACCACCCCCTCCCCGCCGGGGAAAGCACGCGAGGCACGGCCGCTCCGGGCCAGGCCAGGTCGAGGCTTCGCCGCTAGGCCTCGCATCTGTTTTTTTTATTTTTTGTAGTGATTTTAACGCATTTTAAAATGCTTTGGCGCTCATAGATGGCCAAGTGTATCGATTTAACCTCGATTAAAAGCCGCTTTACTTCGAAACACGCATCAGACGCGCGACGCCGCCTTCGTGATGCCTCCGCCGCCTTGACAGCTGCGTGTTTACTCGAGCAAGCCGCGGCCCTCCTTCAGTGCGTGCAAATGTTTTAAAACTTCGCACAATGCTTGAATGATGGGCCCCCGACTTCATCTCGCCCCATAGGTTTGTTCACCCCAGTGTGTTAAAGGTGTTGTCAGTTTATGAATAAAGGTGTTGTTTTAGTGCTTTAGATCCACCTCGTTCTCTTAGCCGCCGCCACCGCCATGGCAAATGTGACAGGGAGTGGCTTTGCGGTGGACGTAATATAAATGCTTTTACGTTGACGCGAGGCCATAATTCGCGTTAAGGACTCTCCATCTGGTTACGAGAGAGCTCTGTGTTTTGCTGCAATGCCCACGTCTCGCGAAATTTACCCAACTATATATTGACACGCGAAATGTAACATTTGCACAATTATTGATGGTGCGGGTTATGGCAACGATAGTAGTAGTAGTATGGCCAACTTCTTTCACACCGCTCGTAGTCAACCGTGCTAATCGGGGGTGCGGCCAACATACATGATTGATGCATGCTCACCAGGACTTACCGACCCAACCGTGGTCACTACCTACCTAATGCCGATGACTGTCTGATGTAAACAGCGTGGTTGTCCTCTTGAAGTGCTAAACAATAATGAGCTGCGCATGCTTGCATAGCGTGTGCCTCTGGTTGTTTTCCAGAGGAAAACACGCTGTGTGTCGTGTTTAACCACCATTCCATTCAAGATGTATCTGTATGGATTTTGAACTTCGTTCGCACCGTACGTAGCCAACCGTGCCAATCTGTGTGTTTACAGGTACAGGAAAATTCTCCGGGACATCGAGCAGGTCTGGAGCCCTTCTTTGATTTCATTGTATCAATTGGAAACACGAGGCTGGTGAGCTGATATTATTTGAACGAATATCAATGTCACGAGCAACTGAATCAGCGTTTGAACGTTAAAACGTTTTCGTTCACAGTACATGTCAAAACATTATCTGTATTCGCGAATAACATAACGTTGATAGATCAGCTAAGTTTGGAATAACGCCAGAAATTAACGTATCAAAGTGAACCAAGGTTGTTAGGTTCGAAATGTTTTGTTTTGAAAAGGTTTTTTTAATAACTGAGATGTGTACAGTAAGCTTCATTCTATGGGGTACATGGGGAAGTGATGGTTACAGTTAAAACAAAGACAAGTGAAAAAACAAAAGTAGAATTGGGGTTAAGACGTAGAATGTGTGGTCTGTTTTTGTTCTTAAAAGTAGCATTTAACGGGTGAGAAGCAGCTAATAATAAAATGTGCAAATAAAAGGCATTAATGAGTGTAGAATACCATTCCTCCATTTCTTTCTCCCTTTTTCGTAAACAGTTTTATCTGCATCCTCCGTAATCTGCACAGGAATAATGATCTGAACCGCACTCATATTTGCGAATTGATGTGTTGCCAGGACAGGGACAACGAGACACTGAAGGACCTGCTGAAGGCCAACGTGGAGAAGCCGGTACGGATGTCCGTGTTCAGTAGCAAGACGTTGAAGGTGCGAGATGTTTCCATCACTCCCAGCAACCTGTGGGGTGGCCAGGGCTTGCTCGGCGTCAGTATCCGCTTCTGCAGCTTTGAGGGTGCCAACGAGAACGTCTGGCACGTCCTGGTGAGCATGCATTGCCCCCCACACACTTGCATGCGACAGTATGGTCCACATCGCGCACAGAGCAGACATTTGAATCTCTGGATTAGTGGGATTATGTGGACGAAGTATATGAACTACTGGCAGTATTTACGTGGCTTGTGTGTCAAATGGGACACATTGTGAGTAGCTTAGCCACATGTGGCTTTACAGAGTTTAAGCCTCTCAAACATGCGAATAGTGGGAACTTGTGATTTCTCGAATAACATGATATCTATTTAAGAATCGAATCTGTCCTTCAGTTAGTCAGTTCTTGAGCATTTTTTGTCAAACAAAATTGAGTGAAGGCTCAATATTTTGGAAGTAACCATAAATGTATATTGATGGTTATAACTGATGACCTTTGTGTTTGGTAAAATAAAAGGTGATTGACAATGTTCACCATGCTAATCACTTGGGGAAGCCTTCATCCAGCAGTAGATAGATCATGGTTGATGATGAATGAGTGATTTCCTACCTCACAGGCAAAGCAGTCTTGCAAGTCATGTAAAAAGTGACCAGGTATTTGGAGCACCAAACCAATCAGTCTTAGATGAATCATGCATTTTTATCTACTATTTTAGAATTACCTACTGTAATCACCCAGAAATGTCTGTCCGTCCCGCACGTGACGTCACTCCACATGAAGCCCACCCCCCCTCATTAATTTTCATGAGTGGGTGGATTTTTACACTAACACAGAGGAAGGTCGAGCTAAATTAAATAATTAATTACGTTAAATCGCTTCAAATATGACGTTTCTTTACAGAAAGTGATGGTAAAAAAATTAATCTACGCAGCACAGTGCTACATCCGTGCATGACGTCACTGCTAAAGAGCCCCCCCCCCCCTTAATTAATATTCATGCCCGCGCGGAAATTTACACGAACGCACAAGAAGTTCGCGCACTCTACATGCCACACCCCTCCCCTCATTAATAATCATGAGCGGGTGACGTCACTCCACATGCCGCACCCCTCCACAATAACCATGAGGGGATGACGTCACTCCACATGGGCCAACTCCCCCCTCATTAATAATCATGAGATGAACAATTTTTCTATTGAATATTTCAGATTTACTGCAATGTACACCCGTCCTTGGATGGGCAAAAAAGCTTGTAGAAATAGAATCATCCCATTCGTAACATGGGCTCATAGCAGTTTGTCTTTTATTACAACTATAATTAGCCAAGTAGGTCTGTTTGTGTGTAACGTCACTCCACATGCCGCACCCCCCCCTCCCGTCGTTAATATTCATGAGCAGGTGGATTTTTACACTCACGCAGAAAAAGGTCGAGCGGAAATATCTTTTTTTTTGCAAATTCGCTTTAAGTTTGACGTTTCTTTATTGAAAGTGAATCTAATAAATAATTCAACGCAGCAACAAAGTGGATTTGGTGTCTATTTATTTCTTCAGCACTTGAGGCAAAAGGTAAGTCTAATTTATGCTTCTACGTTATGGTAAGATAGACATTTCTCGGTGATTTTCCAGATATTGTATCGAATTCCAATTTAGTTCAACCCCAGCGACCGAAATCAGAAGAGAATAAAGTATCAGAGCCCGTGAATTTGAACAAATTGAAGGTCAGTTATATACAGTGCTACGGTGACATGAAGTGGGGTGTTTTATGACGTAGTTTTGTACCAATGTGTTTAGGACTTGGAGCCACACTCACCAGCTGCTCTGGCAGGACTGCGTCCTTTCTCAGACTACATCATTGGAGCCGATGCCGTGTTAAATGAGGTAATTGTCTTGACCTTTACTGCCACTATCACGCTTTGTTGATTCATCTTAATATTAGTGATAACCTTTGGTGAATATAAAGAGCAAAATAGGAATAAATATAATAACCTGCATTGCTAAAGTACAGGAGCATCACAGTGGCAAGATGTTAACTTCCTATGCAGAAGATCGTTGGTTCGATCCCATCCCTGACATTTGCTGTATATTTGGACTTTGTATGTCTATCCCCGTGGTCGTGTGAATTTTTCACTGGATCCTCCGATTTTTCCCACCACATTTAGAATCAACATGTGTTTAGAGTATTTGGCTGCTGTAAAATTCCACGTGATAAGCCACTTGTTTGAGCTATCATTTGTGGCCAGGTATTTTCTGAAAATGGGTTTCATACCTCAAGTGGGCCTCACCTGGTAAAATAAAAAATATAGTTTTAGTTTACATTGACATGTGGATCCATTATTTTCATCTTTTTCAGTCCGAGGATCTGTACACTATGATCGAATCCCATGAGGGAAAGCCTCTCAAGCTTTACGTGTACAACAGTGACATTGACAGCTGCCGAGAGGTGGTAATCACACCCAATGGGGCCTGGGGTGGTGAGGGCAGGTGAGTTTATGCATTTGAAAGCTATGTTTCAAGTATTGAAATTAAACAATGTATGGAGATAAATTCGAAAGGAGAGAAGTACGAAATGATGCAGAGTGATATATTTTATTTCATTGTTATATTGTAGATCATAGTGCTGTACATTGTGATTATGGTGTTATACTTACCACTACAGTCTAGGTTGTGGGATCGGCTACGGATATCTGCATCGGATTCCTACACGGCCTTTCACCGAGGGCAAGCTCATCAGCCCTTCAACCACAACCAGTGCAAAGGATGGCTTCACTGAGGTGTGGTCAAGCTTCCACACTGTTTTATTTGCACTTAATTTTCCTGAATATTGGTACCAATAAAACCCATTAAATAACGTGTACATAGAGCTGATTAATAACTGGAATATTTTTCTGAATTTTTATTTAATAACCCTGCATCAACAATACATTGAAATGTACTGTAAATGGAGATCATATAAACCAGTGTAATGAAAACAAAGCTTAATGTCCCTTTGCCTGTGGATCTTTTGCAGGTGTCCCTCTCAGCTGCCAACTCACTGCTGAGCTCCCCAACTCCAGTAAACGTTTCTTCTACCCCGACCATGCTTATCACCATGTCCGGTTTGGAGCCAGGAGTGGCCAGCCTGCCGCTCAGCACCACGGCTTCCTCCACGCCCCCGTCTGTCACCAGTGCACTGAATGATGGTAAATAGCAGGCATGCACATTTTAACAGTTTTGTAATATAAAAAAAAAATCTGACGTATCCATGCTTTCTGTTACACAATGGGCCCAATGTTCATGGCGGTTAATGACATTTTATCGCTGATTTCTTGGCTGAAAAGTGGTATCTGCTAAAAGGGGTGTTTTGCCAAAAATGAAAAAGGTGTTTTCCCGTGATAGAAATTTGAACTGGCGATGTGTTGAAAAACCAAAACACGCTTAATATTCATGCAAACAAGTTGGCAGTGAACTTAACCTTTTCTAAAATGATGCTGTCTTGAATGTCATCCTGCAGGTGTACTGACAATGCCAGTCATACCAAGCCATACGAATGCCTCCCTACCTCCTGGTAATTTTTATATATATACACAATTCTGCTAAAAAAAAGTGCGCACCATAACGTAGAATTACCAAAAAATCTCAAAATAAAAATGATATTCGTTGTAGTCATCGACGATATACCGTTAAATGTGTAAATCTTTTTTGCAGGTGTCATGCCTGGCACAATACCAGACTTTCCTTTTACACCATTAAACCTTCCCATCAGCCAGCTTGGAATTGCTGATCCAAATGCAGCAGGTAAGAGGTACACGCTGTTATTCTCCGCTGGAGGATGAGCTGTATACAACATGCAGTCCGGGATCACATTAAAGTATCTTTGCCAATATCAGATTAATACCTGTTAGCTGTCGCCTGATGAAGCTAGTTGTAATTACTGGCGAAACGTCGTTCTCAGATTGTAAATGTTGTGGCTTGGCTCTCCAACACAACGGTTAGTGCTGTACACTTTAACACATCGGCTCTCACGACCAATATTATTCATAGTGAAGGTTTTTGGGTTAGATTGTGTAAGTAACAATGTGTCGAAAGCCTCCACATCCCCGACACGGGCCAATCGGTAAGGAATTTGTCACGTAAACAAAACGCCGGATAGTTACTTCTTCAGCACCACCGGTGTGTTTGAAGAGTGTACCCACAACATTTACAATTGGAGTACGACGTTTCGCTGGTAATTACATCCAGCATCATCGGGCGATTTGCCAGAATAGTGAAGCCATCCACCTGCTTCCGGTCTTAAATAGTGCAGGACGACGTCATAATTGAACCCAATCAAGTGTATAGATCAGAGGGGGGGGGGGTCGTGTAATTATATAATAGATTAGTAATCAGTTAATTAGTATGTGATTCCTCTACTAGGAATTGCAATATGTATTATGTATTACTTAATAACTAAGCCTGTAGCTGCTATCAGAGCGGTTAAAATTATTAGTATTTCTCTGAGTGACAACCCTTACTAATTGGCTGTTGGGTGGTGGCGGGTTTAACCACACATATATTTACGCGATCTAACCAAAAAAAATCTGTATTATGAATATTGGTCGCGAAAGCCTTCGTGTTAAAGTGAGGAGGTAGTCACTGGATTTTCAATTGAGGCGCTGAGCCAGTAACCACCAAGATCTCGTGATTGTATCTATATCGCCACTCATGATTAAACTGGTTTCTGAACTATATCGGGGTTTATGGCCTTAGCCATCAACCAGCATATTCGATTTTTCAGTTAATTTGCCGAAATTTTCAGATTGGGGAATTAAAAAAAACTTATTTTTCCTGCCATGATATTAACATCTTAATAGAAGGATGCATGGGAAAGTGCAGCACCCCCTATTTGTGGATAAGAGATCACTGAAAAGGACCTGAGAAGTGGATCGATTTTGTCATCTTACGACGGGAAATTCTCTATACAGGGTGATGCACTGCTATGAGAGCGTTCTAATGGACATTGCTCATGACATGACAACACAAATAGAATAAAATTGGGATAAAGGCAAACAAATATAAATTCCACAACATTGTATAAAGCTGCGAAGATTATAGTAATTCAGCCAACGTGTGCTTTATTGATTCCAAGACTTCACTATTGAGGTGCCATACAGAATCAAGATTATCAGTATTTCACAAATTCCAAATGAGTGCAGTGGTGTTATATGCAACGTTTGACCTTTGTTTTTAAAATTGTCTCCATCCCATTGCACAATGTTTGTAAGTACTGTATCAAATTATACATCGACAATTTAGGTGTCTAGAATATAAAAAAACAGCATTATATTTCATTGAATAACAATACTGCATTATGCCTTTCAGGCCTCCCTGCCCTGCACTCATATCCGCCAGTGGTGCCCATCTCCTTCCCAGGCGGCCTGCCCGCATCACTCTCTGCAGTAATACCTGCTGCAGTAATACCTGCTGCAGTAATACCTGCATTCCCGACAAGCCTGCCCGATGTGCCGTCAGCAGAGGAAGCCTCGTCAACCTCACTGCCACCCCCACCACTGTACACAGCAGCCCCAGGCCTGTCCTCCACGCCACCGCCAGATTCGGCTAACACGGACATCCTCCTGCCTTATGCGCAGGGCCCGTCATCGCCACCACTTGATGTGGAAGAAACACCCGCAGCTACACTTCCAGCCTCTGAGATGAGCGGAACAGCCGCCGAGAACCAATTACCAACGGAGGATTCGGGGTAATGGCAGGGCATCGTGCTAGGCTTGTTAGTGTGTGTGGTATGCTTTTGGTGTAGAGGGTTGTCGCTGTATACATTATATATTTCTACTGTTTGCTGCATTTGAAGGAACGCTGTGTGTGCAGAGCCGCATCTTTACAGGGGTACGGTGTGAAGATCAATATGTCATTGTGAGAATGAAGTACAAATGTTGCTCTGCTGATACGTTATAATAACTGGCATGTTTTTAATCAAAGATAATGTAGCCTTGCATTAAAATACAATCACTTATTTTGGTAATATTGAAAGCCCAACATGCCTGTCTTTACAAACATACACCGTTTTAACAGTTCTGTCAAGTGTTATTTTATTGCATTCTGAGCGGTGTACTTTTTATCACGCAAACTTTTAACTTGCTGTACATGAGACCGTTGAATATCGCGGCAGTTACGTTCTTGTAAAGTTCCGCGAAAGCCAAAACCGCGATGTTCAATACTTAAGCCTTACCTAAATAATGGGGTTAGGTATACGACAACCAAAAATAGACACCTCACAATTGAAATACTGTACTGTATGCCAAATCGACTAAAAACGAAATCCTTGAAATACACATGTAAACCCTATACAAATATTAAACAAAAAAATACTATAAATACTGAATACTGCACTTACCGATTATCTAAAGCAGGCGTGTGTTCGCAAGTGGGGAGCAGTAGCGCAAAAGTTGGCGCGCTGCGCTCGGAACCCGTCCACCCCAGTTTGATTCCTGCTCACGCCCAACACCGGTGACAGTTATCTTAATCGGTCCTGGGCATCCCATAGGCCGACTCGGCCTCAAATGAGTGCCTGCCTGGTGCGATGTGTAAGCATCGCCACTGGGGAGACGAAGGCGGCCGGGCGTGGCGCTGGCCACACCCCCCCCCCCCCCCCCACCCTCTGTGTGTGCCGTGCCGGCCTTCATAGATGCTCACGAATACTGACCCCAACAGTCTGTTAAGGCTATACGGGGGGAGGTGGGGCGGGGGTCTTTGTCCGCGAGATGCTTGCACGGCTAAAGGTTGAGGTGTCACTGACTGCCTTGCGTCCCTCGCCCACCCAGCACCACGATATCAGCCAATGATACAGTACTTAAAAGTACAGTCGACCCGCGAAAGTCCAAAGCTAACCCCCACGATAGCTCAATTGGTATACAAAGAGGTTGCATGCGATAGGTCGAAGCTGCGAACGATATGCCCGCGATATTCAGTGGTCTTCTGTAGTAACATCCATTGAAAGCTAGAGATTGATCTGTAAACTGTGTTAGAATTGGTTAAATTAAATCCCCTCATTGTAAGCAGCCTTAAATACATTACAGTTGCAAAGCTTGTATTGTATATAGATAACTTGAAGATTTTTATAATGGTGTACAGCAATAAATATGCTGCTTTATGATGTGGTATGAAATAAGAATACATTATGAATGTGCTTTGGTGATGCCTATTCCATTGACAGCTCGTTGTACTTCATACATCTAAGGCATCAGATCATCTGCAAAAAAAACACGTAGCCTGCACTACCTGATCAAAACAAGTCGGCAATTGTTTTTCTACTGTGGAGGCAGAAAATTGTTCTTTCGTTCTCGGTTGGGATTGGTTTAATTTGTTGCTGTTGGGGAAAAAAATAAAGCTATTTATATCTTGATTTGTCTCGTCTTATTCCTGCGTTGGTGTTAACGATAGTGACGGAATAGAAGGGTGCAGTGGACCAGGAACGCTAGCGTGGCTGTATACGACGTCTAGCTGAAACTGATACTGCCACAGCTGTTTTGAATGCTGTACATAGCAAATTCACTATTTGATCTGCTGTGGACATTTGAACATCATATACAATGGCAAATGAATATGATTTTTATACACTGCAAAATAAGCAGTCAAAAGCAAAATTGTTACTCTTGCAAGGGCACAATTCATCGCACGTTATACCGATCAATCTGAACTTGGAAATGCTGCCATGGTCAACCAACTGCTTGATGAAGAAGGCCTTCCCAAGCAACTGCCATTTTCTGTGATCCAGCGAAGTAGAAATCCGCCCAGGGCTTGTGCACGAGGTGAACTCACCGTGCCATCGGGGTTAACCCAAGGGACGCGTTCCATTCTTTGGCTACCACTCCGTCACGATTCTCGAGCATCAAGTTGTGCTTTCCAGAATAATTCCAACCTGCTGGCGTCTGCCTCTCATTAAACTGGTTTAATATTCGTACAACCTACTTGTACGTTAATACTTTTGTGCTGTAACGATAAGGGTGACAACGCGCCGATGTGGCGAGACGTTAACTCCTGGTATGCAGGAGGTCATCGGTTTGATCCCGACCCTGATGCCTGTATATTTGGAGTCTGCATGTCTCTCTCCCCGTGGTCTTGTGGATTTTTCTCCGTATCCTCCGGCTTCCCCCCCCCCCCCCTCCAAATTTAGAAACATGCCTTTAGAGTTTTTGGCTTCTAAAAATCCCAACAATCATAAGCCATTGTGTTGAGCTTTAATTTGCGGGCAGGTCGCTTCTGAAAAAGAGCGATATAGATCAGTGGGCCTTACCTGGCAAAACAAATGTATAGTTCATGATAAATTGCAAACAATGATGGGAATACATTAATATTGATTTACCTTGGCCTTACCTGGTTAATGTTTTAGTTTAAACGTGCCCAAGTACAAATAACATTTCATCATACCACCACTAGAGGTCACCTTTGGGGGCTATATTGTACCGCTTATTACATTTGTGTCGCCCTCTCTCCTCCCACTGCTAAACGACTCGATATATTGCCTCGTGTTCATTGTAGGGGGTGCCCGAGGGGTGGTTGCCGCCATGCTTCACCACGCTGCTCAGTACGCGTTGGTGAAATGGAGTGGCAAAGGAATCGGTTCAGATATCGCTCGCACGCCGAATAACATAAATCTACACTTGAAATTGTACGTGCAAAAGTGATACAATATTAGAGGGGGAAAAAACCACTTTCGAATGCCCAAAGACAGCTAGGTTATGAAACTGAATCAGCCTCTTAAAGATGAGATGTCTACAAAAGAGGCAAGTTGTGTTAATAATCAAGCCCCATAAACGTAGAAAGTGATTGGCTGCGTACGGTGCGAAAGAAGTTCAACATACAGTACATGCAATTGGGGTCAACTATGCCCCCCAATTTAAAACGCTTTCCAACTCGGGAGTTGAAATAAATAACAACGCAGTAGCTGCGCGTGCCTTCCTGTCTGTCTGCAACAGTTGGTGCACAAAGACTCCCGTAAAGATAATGAATCAATCCAACGTGAACGAAACTTCAGCCTAAACTCGTTTGAAACACGATTCAAACAAGAGGAGTGCCATCAGCCAAACGAATGTTTTGAGAATAGCCGCCGCTGTGGTCTATCACACCAATGTGCGCACGGGCTGGATCGGGCCGGGAGACACCGGCTAACGCCACGTGAATAGCTGAACTCCGATCCACCCACTCCCCTCCCCCTGTCATCCTGTCGGCGCCTGTCTACAGGTGCACTCGCTCGGCCGTCCAGGTATGAGCGCACTTCAAGTATCCTTTTACCGGCGTAAAGCACACAGCTCCGTCCGTCAAAACAATCCGGGGCCGCGTCCACCGCTCACTCGTCCACCGCAACTTGCGAACGTCTCAATGACGGCGAAAGACCTCGGGCACAACACTCGCGATCGACACCCGGCCACGGTTAAGGCGCGGCGCGCAGTCATCATCGTCACCGCCATCTCATCATACCGGGCAGGAAGGGGAATTGGAGGGATGCCCAACACGTACTCAATGGTGACCACGGTGCGCGTGTTTTAGGCTGCAGCCCGAGGCTCGATTGAAGAGCGATGGACATGGGAGCGAGACGGGAGCGCGCCCGCCACGAGGACGCGCGCGCCTCTTGCAGCGGTTCCGACAGCGCGCGCAGCCAGGCGAGCTCCGGCTCCCGGCACCGTAACGTGGAAGGGTCCAGCACAGGCTCTAGCAGACGCGCCAGCGCGGAGGGAGGCTGCAGTACAGGGTGCCGACATCCCCACGGCGCGAAGGGGTTCGGGTTATCTTCTGGATGTCACAACGTGGAAGGCGCTTGCCTGGGGTCGCATCAACACAGCCGGGGAGGGGAGTCTGGCTTTGGCTCTCGCTACCCCAAGGAGGACGGCGGCGTTAGCTGGGGCTCACGGCAGCCGAGCGCGGAGAGCTCCAGCCGACGCTCTCGCCTCTCCTGCGAGGAGGACTCCAAGCTGCGATGCCGACACCGCCACCACAACCACCAGGGCGGCGGCGGTGAACGCGACCGCGGCGCCAGAGGGGAACGAGGCGAATCCATCTCGGGGTCCGGAGGCACGTCTTACAGAAGCGACGATGACGACGAAGACGACGACGAGGAGGAAGATAACGATGTCGGCGGCTGTAGACGCGTCCCGATCGCCTCCTGTGCACCCTGCGACCACACGGACCTGTCCGCAATGAGCAGCAGCAGCAGCCACCACAGCGACTGCTGTTGCTGCCGGTGCTCGAGCGAGTGCAGCACGGAGCGCACTGGCTCCAGCGCCACCCCGTGCTGCTGCTGCTCCTGCTGCGCGTGCGGGGAGCAGCAGGGTCAGCTGCAGGGTCACAGCAGCGACTGCAGCAGCGAGCGCGCGTCGTGGCACACGCAGGGACCGGGGACTCCGACTCGGCAGGAGCGCGGTCACCGGCTGAAGGACGTCGGCGCGGGCGGAGGGGTGGACGGCAAGGACCACAAGGCTAAACGAGGTCTGGTGGTGTTGGTTGGTGGTGGGGCTGTGGTGACACTGTCGATGTGGAAAGCCTTAGGGTGGCATAGACATTGATACATTCGTGGCGAGCCGTCCACCGTGGCCCCCCTCAATGTGGCAATTTTTTGGGAACGAATGATATAGACTTTTTTAAAGTTTTAACTGTAGGAACTGCGCATTATGGATGAACGCATACTTTTCTACGGTTGCAATTAAATGCGTAAAAATGATCAATTAATTTCATTAGTTCATTAATTTCATTCCGAACGGCATCACTCTGTGGAGCGACGCCGTTAGCCCCATCCACTCCGCACGATACGAGGGAATTATCCAGGTCGGTGCCTCCTCTTTGCTGTGAACTACGGTCACCGCTGCTGATGAAACGTCTCGCCGAGTGGTCGTGAGTCGTTTCTATGTACAGTGAGTACGTTCAACATCATAACGCACAGTACGTAGGCAAGCGTGCTAATCGGAGGTAGCCGCTGCCTTTCTGACATAATGGTTTATCCTACACGTTGAACAGCTCTTTGTCAATCCGCTGCTGTATGAAGGCCTCCCGGCTCCATATTGTGCGTAGAGGTTGCCTTGACGATATTTCGCCAAGCTGGTAAGTGCTGGGTGGTGAACATGGGACATCAGTTCAATATTACTCACCACTGATGTTAACTCTGCCCGGGATTATAAATTAGTCTGTTGGGTTCATTGCACAGCGTGCTAACCACTCGGGCACTGTTACAATCCTGCTGAACGTTGTGATCATCGCTAACTATGATATAGTGACTTCTTTTTTCTTCATAACGGAGGAGATGACCCACGCCCGTTAATAATAATAATTATTTGTTTAATAATGAATGGGCCTTCCACAACAATGTTTCTCATGAACATTTGTATACACCAGGTGAACCTTCCAACCGATCCTCTTCCTCTGAGTCTCAGCAGCATGTCCATCGATTGTGCAGCACTGCCCTTCAAGCGCTGTCCAGGCATCGTGCGCATTCCGAGTGATATCCTCTTGTCCCTGGGGTATGCGTAACCCGGTGTGTTTTTCACCTCCAACAAAGTGGACTTGTTTTTCCTTGGTTGTACTCGTAATAATGTTGAACCCGACTATGTGGCCCTGTTTATTAACAATCATTCGATCGTGTCACGGATTTAATTGTTTGCTTGATGACGATGTCATGGACACATCTGTGATGGTTAATTATTTATCCGTTTATCTTTACGCCTTAATTTGTTCCATGCGCCTTGTGGCAAAACGTCCTCTAATGATGGTGAAATTAATAGGCAAGCGAGAGCAGGTTGAAATACTTTTGGAACATTGACCTTGATAATGAAAAAAAACACATACGTGTCTAAAGAGTAAGGTTATCACTTGGTGGTACATTACCTACTATTACATCTGGGTGAGCAACATGGACACTGAACATTTTGGAGAGAAAAAATGCTGAAATATTGTGGAAAGTAGGACAAAGAGGTGCGTGCTAGGAATTACACCGATAGACCGAAAGAGGAACACATAAATAAAGAAGCAATGCGAGGAAGATAATAATGACCTAATACAGTTTAGAGGGCTTGGGTAGGACAAGTCTCTAGAAGGACCGATGGCCGATGTTAGAGACTATTGATGAAGTGGTGTTTTGGGGGTTACATCACGTACATATATAAATGTGTCGTTAAACCCGCCAACACCAAACACAGCCAATTAGTAAGGTTTGTCACGTAAACAGAGCATGCCAATTCGTTACTGGTACAGCACAACCGGCGTACGAGTACAACGTTTCGCCGGTTCGGATAACTTCAGGCTTAGTGCTGCTTTGAAGCGAATCATCAAATAATACATTGTTTAAATGCATGCCTAAGAGGTCACCAAACATACATGGGAATTACCTGTACGCAGACAGTAACAGGTACTGCAGTTTTATTGCACGCAAACGACAGGAGGTACAAGAACAACGTGCGTGCATAATGTACGTTGATTGCCATATGAATAACCCAAGCGGCAATGGATGTTAATTGTAATTTATATGCATTCATTAACCCCCCCCCCCCTCGCACGTGAAGGGCTCACAAGTGACGTCATCACATCTATCTCTCTATTTAAGGAATTAATTTGGAGGATTTCTCCACAAATATGGCTGTCGCCTGATGAAGCTAGTTGTAATTACTGGCGAAACGTCGTTGCTCTCCAACACACCGGTGTGCTGTAATAGTGACAAATTGGCATGTTCTGTTTACGTGACAAAGCTTATTAATTGGCTGTGTCGGGTGGTGGCAGGTTAACGACACATTTATATTTACGCGATCTAACCCACCCCAAAAAAACCTATATTATGGATGATATTGGTCGCGAAAGCTTACGACGTGTTAAACTGATGGAGTCGCAGCTAAAGGGGGTTGTTGCATATCTTGTGATACGTTCATCGTGACGGTGGAGCGATGAGGTCAGCTCAATAGGAAGAGCTGGATAGATTGTTGCATCACGAGAACGTGATGGGATGGCGACAACAGTGGATATATATCATGGATGATGATGATATGTAATTGGGCGGAATGGCTACGCAGTGCTTAGGGCACTGCTGCTTATGAAGGCGGCGCTGAGTTAAATGCCTGGCCAAACAGAGCAGCACGGTGAAGGATGGTCAAACAACCTGCATGGCTGGACGGCGTGTGGAGGCCTTCACAAAGGGCTGCAAATTAATCGATTGTGAACATTTAAGTAGGTCATGCATGTCTTCTTACGAAATAGAACGTTAATAACAATGGGCTCTCACACCTGGTTAAATAGCCGATCAAATATAGCCATGTCCCTTGCCTCGTGGTGTTCATAAGCATTCCGTACTTACCTAATTCCCCCTTAACTCTTAAGCTTCACAAACCTTGTACGAGCATTACAAACACAAGACACTCTCACGCAAACTCTGAGGCAACTTATCCTCCTCCCAATGACGGTGACGATATGGTTTCAGTTTCAGTTTATTTATTTTGGTATAGCCCTGTGAGCCATTCGGCTCTTGAATCGGGTGCAACCACAACAAACAAAAACAACTAAAACACGAACAAGAAAAACATCTTAAAGTGACTATGTGACTGTGCAAACAGAAAATCCATGAAAAAACCAGCAAAATATTCCTGAAAAAAGCACCGTACACCAACGCTGTGTGCAAAAAATCCCAGTGGGATGCAAGTCAAACAACAACAACCACACGAAAACTTAGATTAAGGCCATCAGTCTAATTCCGTACTACAATAAAACAAACATGTCCAAACCAAAAAAACGTTTTCGAAATCACGAAAAAATAAAGCCATAATTGCAACGTAACAGTGATCATAGGGACTGTGACCGAATTTTTACAATAAACTACATAAATAACATGTAACACCAAATCCTAGAGCCATAGCTGGCTGCATGAGTTAATCCACAACAACAGAAGCATCAGTCGGAGTATCAAGTTTTTCAATGCACCTTTAAGATCAGCACGCTAAATCAAAATACAGATAATACTTTGCAGCGTCATCCGGAGCGAAACATTTTATTTTATGTTACGCCACTGAATAGCAGTGGCAGCTTGGGGTGTACAACTCCTCTAGAGCAGTTTTGAGTGAAGATCTCATTGGTACCGATTCAAGTTGCAGTTTACTGGCAATAGCATTCCAGACCCTGGGGGCATCAATAGCAAAGGCCCTTCCTCCAGTTGTACGGCCATAGGGAATGTGAAGCTGGTAAATGAGCGAAGACCTGAGGTCAAATTTGTTTTTTTAAACAGAGAGGAGATCCAGCAGGTAGTCTGCGGATTTTTTTGTAAGTACATCGTGAATAAATACGATCTGGTGCACAAGCTGTCGAACATTAAGAGATGTTAAGTTTGACCCAATGTAGAGATCACAGTGGTGAGTTCTATATGGGCAGTTCAATGTAAATCTTAAGGCCGAGTGATAGATGGAATCAAGCTTCTTCAGTACAGTACTTGGGGCTGATTTATATACACAGTAGTCAAGTAGAGGCAGTATGGTAGCTTTTATCAATTCCATACGGAACATTGGGGGGAAGCATTGCTTGTGTCGATACAGAAAACCAATTTTTACTTTTGTCTTTTTACCAATATAACCAATGTGATTTGAATCCAGGATGACCCCAAGATACTTATAGATCTTGGCTTGCTCTATTTGATAATTATTTAAGGAATGTAATTGGGGAAAAATTACTTCCTGCTTTAGTCCTGGTGACAAGCATAGCACCTTGGTTTTGGAGGTATTCAGGACTAGTTTAAGAGCAACTAGCTGAAGTTGTAGTTTGTTGAAATCACCCTGTAGCTTAACAATCACGTCATCCGGAGAGCGACCAGCAGTAATCAGTATCGTGTCATCTGCAAAAAGATTTACCCTGGAATGATCCAGGTCAGTGCCCAAGTCATTGACATAACGAGAGAACAAAAGGGGGCCGAAGGTGGAACCCTGTGGAATCCCTTTTGTTATCTTCACACTGTTTGACCTCCAATCATCTGTGAATAAAGTTTGGGTGCGAGAAAAGAAGCAATTTTGTAACCATTTTACTACGTTTTCGGAAAAACCGAGGCAACTTAGTTTACTAAGCAGGGTGTTGTGGTCTTCTGTATCAAGAGCTTTGGACAGGTCTTGAAAAAGACATCCTGCTTATTATCAATGCTACTGTAAATGTGATTCAGAGAGTCTAATGCAGCAGATGTGGTGCTGTATTTTTTTTGGAACCCAGATTGTTTTAGATGCAGTAGATTGTTGGTGGACAGGAAACTGTTCATTTGGTAGGTCAATCATTTTTCAAAATTTTTCATCAACGGGGACAAAATTGAGATAGGTCAGTAGTTATTTGGATCATCTTTATGGCCCCCTTTGTGAAGTGGACGGACATAGGAATGTTTCCATTCTAGAGGAACTGATGCTTCTTTGATGGACAGGTTGAAAATATGGGCTATAGGTTTGTATATTAGGTGACCAACAGTTTAGTAGAGCAAAGACGGGAAT